TAAACTTAAAAGGTAAAGAATTATAAAGGCCCTAATAATTATAAGATTTTATAAATTTAAATAGATTTAAATATTATAAAAATATTAAATTTAGTAATCTGACTTTTAAATTATATAAGAACTAATTAAAGAGTATTACTTTAAAGTATTAATTCTAAATTCTAAATATATATATATTTATAAGGAAATAAGACCCAAAATAGTATTAAACTAATTATAAGATATAAGAAAAAGTATATTAGATATTAGGTTTATTTTTTCTCAACTATTTTAATTTTAGTAAATATTTATATATAATTTATTAGACCTTATATAATAGGTTTGCTTAGGAGAGATAAGATTAATTAGCCTGGAAAGTTTAATAATAATAGTTAGATTTCTATCTGGTATAATAAGCAGAATACTAGTAATAGCCCGGGTATTTTAGGTTTTATTTATAAAACTAAAAATATTATATTTATTAATTCTTTATATCTAATAAAAAAAAAAGTATATTTATATCTTTAATATATCTATTATTATAAAGTAATACTAATATAGTTTATAAGATTAACTATAGTTCCTTTTACTAAAAAAGAGAATAGTAAAATTAAAAAAATATATAATAGCCTATTACTATTATTATTATTAATAGCTTTAATATTATTATTATTATTATTAGGATTAGCTTTAATAATACTTTCTATAGTACTTTTTATATTATTTTATAATTCCTAAAAATTAGTAAATAGAAAAGAATTCTAATATATATAAGTTAATTAAATCTAAAAATAAAAAAGAATCTATAGAAGAAATAAAGAATAAGAACTAGAATTAAAAGAAAGAATTATATATATATCTTTATTTACTTACTAGTTTATTAGATCCTTTTTTACTTTTAAAGTCTTATATTTATACTAGTAAGTAATATTCTTTTAGGCTCTCTAGGCCTCTTTAGTCTATTATTTAATCTCTTTAAATTACTATATCTTCTAAGTATTTTCTAATTCTTTATAAGTAATTTTAAAATAGAGATCTTTATATAAAGTTTTTTTTTAAGTATTTTATAGTTTTTTATAAATGATTTTAAAACAAATATCTTTATATAAAGTCTTATCCTAATATAAAATAAGGAAAATTATCTAGATATTTTTAAGGCCCAGATATATATTATAGTAAAAAAGATTAAAAATAGTTTAAATAAAACCTAGTAAAACTATAAGTTCCTGGGCTCTTTTATTATTAGAACTAGTATAAAATACTAGTTTATTTATATTATTAATAAATTAATAATAGTAAATAGGTCTACTAATATAGAAAAAGAAATAAGGGAATAGCTATTAAGAAACTATATTAGAAAGAATAGAAAAGATTTAATTATTTATTTTGAATCGAAAACTATCTATTAAAAAATATCTATTAGAATTTATATAAAAAATCTAGTAAAAGAAATAGAAGAAAACTTATTACTAATTTCTTTAGAAAATTAAATAGTTCTTTATTTAGTTTTCTAATTCTTTATATTATTAAATATCTATTTATAAAAAACTAGCTATAAAACTATAATCTATAATTTTATAAGACTAGATCCGGCTATATTTTGATTTATAAGACCTTAAAAGACTCTAGATAGCCTATTACCGGTATAAAAAGCTATAGCCTAAATAATAGCCTAAATAACTCTTATATTTATAGCCTATTAAGCTTATATAATAATATAAATACTACTAAAAGAATAGTTAAATTAAGTAATATAGCTTATAATAAAAGGAAATATAGAAGGAAATAATTATAGAACTATTAAAGTAAGAAGAGCCTAAAATAGAATAGAACTAGTACCTAGTAGCTATATAGTAATAATAACTAGAGAAATAGATATAGTAAATATTTCTAGAAAAAAAGATATAAAATAAGAATACTAAAAAGAGCTAGAAATCTAAAATATTTCAGATATAAAAAAGGAAATAGATATAAACGGAATTCCAGAGCTATAAAGTTTAAATCTACTAATATTATTATTTTAGATAAATAAAATATTAGCTTCTATATTATATTTATTATTAGTAGATTAATAGAATTTATAATATTAGATATTATTATATTAGTATTTGGCTATAGAATATATAATATTAGAATAGGTTTTAAGAAATAGTAGTACTATTTTAAGAAATAAGAATTTAAAAATATAGAATATTTATATAATAAATAAACTTAATAATTCTATTAGTACTATTTTTAAAAGTAAAAAGAGGATTTCGAAAATAATATATTTAATAATAAATAATATTTATTTTAATATATCTAGTTATTTTATAACTAGCTTATTTAACTATTTTATATTATTAGAAGTATTACTAATAAAGAGCTATTCCTAAATAAAGTCCTAAACTATTAGGAACTATATAAGTATCTTTCCGGCTTATATATTATTTATATATTTTATATTTATTAGAATAACTTATTTAAGAATTCTATTTTATATAATAATAATATTATATTTACTAGTTAGCTTCTCGGACTCTTCTAATATTAGTAGCTGCCCTAAGGCTATATATATCCGGATTATATATTAGAGCTAGTAATAAGCTTAAATATATAATTAGTTACTATTTCTATTAGTATTTCCTATATAAATATTAGCTATATTTATACTATAAAATATAAGCTTCTAATAATATTATTCTAGTATTTCTCTTAGTAGAAACTTATTAATATCTATATTAGTATATAAATAAACTATTTATATAGAACTATATAAGATTATATTACTTATTTTAAACTAAATAATTATTAAGAATTATATTATAAAGCTTTATATTTATAAAATAACCCTAGTACTATATTCTGCCTAAGGGCCTTATATATAGTCTAAATAGCTTACCGGCTATTATATTAGGCCTAGATCTGTCTTTTCTAATCCTATAAATATTTTATAAATCTATAAACCTATATATTTCGTTTTAGATCTATTATATATAAAATACTAGTAAAGTAATCCGGTCCTATAAGTATTAGTAATTATAATTCCCGGTATAAGCCAGTTTCTGAAAATAGTTCTATATATACTAATCGGAATTAGTTATATAATCCGGTATTATAATACTAGATTTAATAGCTTTAATAAAAAGTAGTATAATTATTAGTATCTAATACTCTTTTCTAATAATAGAAAGAATAAAGAATAAATATAGGAAAACGGAATTACTTATATACTACCGGTATAGCTAGCTCTTCTAAAGCTTTTATTATTAGGATTTAATCTACTAATTCTCGATATTTTTCCTAGAAATAAAATAATTTTTTATATATATAACTAATAGATTAGCTATTTATAAAAATACAAAATATATTTCGGTAATAAAAGAAAGTTTAGAGCCTTAATTAGCCCTAAAGAAATAAGAGTAATAGCCTATTTAAGTATAAATCTGAAAATACTATTATATAACTAAATAAGTAATCCGATTAGAGATTCTAATATATATTTAGATAATATTATATAAATAAATATTAATATAAATATATATTTCAATCCTAAATAGTAATAGCTTATTATATTTATTAATTAATTAAACCCAGTCTAGTTCAGGTATAATATATTCTCTTTTCTTAGACTATATCTGTTATATTTATAGTATAATTACTTCGGGATCCAGAAGTTATAATATTATATATAAGCTCTCTCTATAAATAATAAAATATATTAATAAATAAAGTTCTAATTTTCTAAGCTAGAACAAAATAGTAAAATATAGAAAAACTAACCGGATTACTAGTAAACCTTATTAATAGAAATATATATATAAATACTACTATTTATAACCTGTAATCTATCTATTATTTAGCTTATTTTATAGTATTATAAATAGTTACTTGTTTACTGCTTACTTATTTATTATAGTTATATAGTAAATAAGACTAAGCTTCTTATATATATAAATAATTCCAGTAATTGAAATTATATAATTATAATCCTTAAGATCCTTAAGTATTTCCTTATCTATATCTTCTAGATAATATAGAATTATAATCTATATATAAAAAAAAGATATATCTATTATTTAAATATATATTTGAATATTTTATTCTTATAATTACTATTAGATTATATATAGATTAACTGAGATTCTATATAAATCTTTTAATCTATTTATAATTTCTTCTTAATTAATATTTATATAAGCCTATTTAGTAATAGCTTTATAATATAGTAATAGATTTAATAAAATTCACTAAGTTATTTAATAGGAATTAAATTCAGGATATATTTTACTATTATAATATAAGTACTAAATTACTCGAGTAATATTATTCCTATATAATTTTATTAATTAATTACCAAAAAAAAAGTAATTAGCTAGCTTCTTAGTTATTTTAATAGTTTAATTTTCTTATTTCTAATCTCGGAAATATTAAGGAAGTTATTAGACCCTATTAATAGTATTATCCTAGAAGGGCTTATAGCCTATAGTTACCTGACTATAGTAATTTGTACGATTTCACATAGTAGTATGGGCTCTCACTTCGTTAATTAGACAAGCGAGTAGCCTTACTATTATTATATTATCTAAGCCAAAAGTCACGTGTGGGTGCTATACCCCTAATTAGGAATTCTGCCTTGGGGAGGGGGGGGGGGGTGTGCGGGGCGCCAGTGCGAAAATCAGAAAATCAGAAAATCACTTTTCGCTTCTCGGATTTGTCCGCTAGCTAGCTGTGGGCCTCAGTATCTACACCGTCAAACCACGCTTCCACAACGTTACATCCTCTAACCTTTAAAACCAAATTTTCTTTCCAACCAATCTTGAGCTTGGGTCGACGCAGTGAAGATAGTTCACAATCTTCAGTCAACATCACATTCCCGCCATCAATGGCTCCTGCTCCGCACCATTTATATCTTTGATACCCCACCAAGCTTACAACTGCCTCTTTCAACCTGCTATTTATCTAACGTCATTACTTACCTCTTAGACAGTCAAATGAAGCATCTCTCTCAGAAAGTCTTGATTACTTTGTGTCATTTGAGACGAAGAAACCAGATCTAATTATTCGCCGAGCTGTTGAGATAGAGCTCGAAAGCACCCAATCGATCTAAAACGACTGATGTATCTTCACCCGCTCTTAGCAGGCTCCGGCACAGGGGTCTCTAACAACTCAACCAACTCCCCAAATCCCTTCAACAAAGGTTCCTTCCCCTCCTTCCCCCATAACTCCAAAGTATTCTGCCCCAACTTTCCAGTCCCAGCAGCAGCAAGCATGTCACCCATACCCGGACCCGCATACGACAACTGTGGCCTCGTCTCCACAACCCTTAGCTTCATACCCGCCAACGTTTTCTGTAAGCTCTCACTGCTCGCATTACCTCCCGTGATCCCATACGTAACGATCAAAACTGGCTTGCCAATCCACTCATTATACAAATAATCAACCGCGTTCTTAACACCGCCTGGCAGGCCGAAATTGTATTCGGGAGAGACGATGATGTAGCCGTCGAACGCTGCGATCGCTGCAGACCACTTCTTGGAATGTTCGTATTCGAAGTTGCCGTGCGCGGGCACCATGGCAGGCATGATCTTCTCGTTGAATACGGGGAGGTTGAAGGAGGCGACGTCGAGGATAGAAATTTCTGGTTTCGGGGTAGCAGGTAAGGTGAGGAGCATCTTGTGGATGAAGGAGACGACTTCAGGTCCGGCGCGGATGGCGCGTGTACTGCTGATGATGAGAGCTACTTTCTTGGGAACTGTGGTTGCTAATGTTGCCATCGTGAATTGTTGGCTGGCTGTACGTCTTTCGTGGGTGGTAGGAAGGATTAGAGATGGTTGTGAGAAATACTTCGTGCTGGATATGATGCAGTTAGAAGTAGAGAAAGGTGAATTGTTTCCTTGATAGTGAATATGAAAGGAAGGTCACCAACTTTATACTTACGGATGTGATCATCAAACCAGGAATGCCTAATCTGCAAAATCGTTTCTGCTTAGAAAGATTTGAAAAATGTGGAGCTATGGTGAGGCTTAATCCGTGAAGTTTTAGTGAGGTGGATACATCCAACACCGCACGGAGGAGGTTGATATCGAGGCAGAGGCGTGTCCAGAACAGAGCGTGCCGTTCCAGATGAGTAATTCAATTTTACTTGGACCCCTGGATTTGCCGGTGCCGTTCTCTGTCCTGGTTGGCTGTGGCAATACATCATACCAGAGCCGAAAAATCAACACAAGTTTCACTCTGCTGAGCAAATGTTATCCTCAAATCCGTCAGGAATATAATCGGAGCTGGACAGGTACAAATATGCAGGGCTGACATGACGGCGATAGGGGTTTGGGGGATTGGTTGGAGAAAGCAGAGTCAGCTAAATTATCCGATTGGTTGAAAAGAGTCAGGCAGGCAGAGTCACGTGCCAGACTCTCCTTGGATATCTTGCTCCCGGGCACTTGCCAAGCTTGCCAAGCTCGGCAACGAGATATCTTCCAACTGGTTTCCGGATCCAGGTCCAAACCTACGAAGCCTGGAAAGCTCATAAAATACGACGACCTTCTATCCAATCCAATCACTTAACCGGCCCAAGCGCGGAAACGATCACGAATTGGATATTTACTTCAAGGTACTCTACATCAGACATGGCCAATCGCAACCCGCAAGACGAAGTAGGCACAAGGAGTGGGAAAGGAATGGCAAGTTCTCCTCGATCACGTGCTATCGACACTCCCTGGCTGTTGTTTCACTAGCTGATAATTTACGTTACACCATATTCTGGCAGAAGGTTACATAACCAAGAACTGCGCTCCTGGCGTTATCAGCACTTATAGGCCGCTGCTAACCATAGTCACGTAAAACCCCAGATATGATATAGTTAGCCCCCCCCCCCCCGGCTACCTAGCTTAGGCAACGACAAAGAATTTTCAAATTCAGAGCAGACGAACGAGACACCTCGATTTGAAATTTGCACAGTTAATTTTATCTCCAATTATTGAAGTACACAAGGACGCATAAAAGTGATCATGAATTTGATGTTTCTCCTAACGGCACTCTGCAGACAGGACCAATCCCATCTCATAGAACCAAAATACGACTCTGCGCCAACATTCTCACATGTTCTGCTCACTGCAACCAAACAGCCCCACATCCATCAACAACCTCACTCCGCCTTGACCTCGCCCTGCTCCATATCGGCAAGGTCGCCTGGGTGCGTGGGCCAGAAATGCGACAGATCTCCAACAGGAAGGCTGATCGTCATTCGCATCTCTGCCGCCATCATGACAACGGTAATATAATATCCAAGAAGGGCGAGAATGAAGAATGTTGCCCCGCCAGCCTAATTTCATCAGCTTGGGCTCCCGGAAACTGAGTTGGAGAATGGATCTTTACCTTCTGCAACTTCATTGCCATACCATAGTCCCCCGTGCTGACCTTCCAATACGCGCCCGAAAAGAGAAAGCTGCTAATAAACGCAAAGAAGAAAATCGCGGCAAAAACCGTGTTTGTCTTGAGCGTGAAAATCCACGTAGTGAATAACCAGAATCCCCAAACAAGAAGATAGAGTGCGACGGCGGCGTTGTAGCCTTTTGAGGCGGCGCCTTCGGCTGCATCGCCTGTGGGGGAGTAGGAAGCTGCGATGGCCCAAGAGGGTGTTTCGAGGACGCCGAAGGACAACCAGAAGACGCCAAACATACCCATTATCATCATGGATAGGAAGTTACCCATTATCCATTCAAAAATCAAGGCGAGAAGCAGGAGGACGGGACCGGTGAAGAAGAAGATGCCGCTGCGAAAAGGATTTCAGGTTAGGGATTGTACCTCGAGAGGAGGGAACGGGAAAGAGGAACATACGCAACTCCAACAAGTGTTGTAGATCCACCCCAGCCCATCATGATAGCTGCAAACGTCGTAGCAGAAATGATGAATCTAAGAAGTCAGTCCTTAATCATCTCGTCTTGGGATCGAATTCGTACCCCATCAACCCCAAAGGTGTAGGATTCGCGAAACGCTTTCGGAAATCTCCAACTGCAGGGGTCTTTGGGGTAAGGTAGAGCTGTTGTGCCACTAATTAGTGCCCTGAACTTCTGAGACTCTGGAAAGCTTGAAAGGGCGTCAGACCTTCTCGAACAGCTCAGGAGAGATCGTCATTCCTGTTTTCACATAAGAGAGATTGCCCCCCATCTTATCATCTGTGACGTGGATCATCCCATCATCTTCTCCCTTCCTATTCGCGACTCCATTGGTAGCCATTGTAGTAGTCTCGAAGCACTGCCTGTTGAGTTCGAAAACTTTTCGACCTTGAAATTTGGAGTTCTGCCCGTTTTTTAAATCGACCGGCAAAATGAGGAGGCGAAGTACGAAGTACGAAGTCAGAGTTTAACAGAAAAAGAGCTCCAGCTCTAGGAACAACACAGGTCATTTATTCCCGCAGCAGCCTCGCAAAAACCCCAGAAAACACCAACGATGTGGAGAATAATGGGACTCTCTGCTCGCCGAAACAATGCGGGGCTCCCCTGTTGTTCTGCAGCTTCCCCGCAATCCACCCCTGCATGCGCACACCATTGCACCGCCCCCCTACCACCTGACCCCAGAACATCTCACTGAAACGTTGTCTATGGACATTCCAAGTATCGGGGAGGACAAAGCTTGACCCGAAAGGCAGCTGCCGAGGCCTTTGTCACACCTTTGTCAGACCCAAATAAGCCCCACTGAGAGCGAGACCGATTGATGCCAAATGTTCCATCTGTATTACTGGATCGCAGCTTCTCGAGCTGTGCCCAGAGCTCGGATCAAAATTGCTGAACGGTTGGGCGCTTACAAAATGCTGTGCTACTGTGCAAGGACGCGATGTGCAGGTTGTCGTTGAGGGCCTGGAGCCTCGAGGTTGTGTCTCCTGCTCCGACGCCGCAAAGGTCAAAGCTCATCACATACCTGGTTGTCGGCGGAGTATTTTGATGCTTCGCCGTAGAACTGCGTGCTGACTGCAGCACGGGAGTTGAGATTGGAGTTGGACGGGAGAAATCGGCGAGGCAGGTTGTTATTTCTGGTGGAGATGGGGAGAGGTGAGTGGGTGAGAAGATACGAGGTTGGTAGTCGATTTTGGAATGAGGCACAGAATATTGCATGCATGGGGTAAGTGAGTCGCCACTGAGAGCAGTAGTACAAGAGCCTTGTACAATTGGGCTGGCGGAAATGATGATGAGTGGAGATGCGAGATTCGGACAGCGTCACGTGCTCCGCAACACAAAATGCCATCAAAACAACTCGGAGAGTTACTCAAGACTCAACTAGGTATCAGCAAGGACTCAATCTTTGTACCTGAGGCCAGCGAGTCTTGCTTTATTGTTCACGGAAAAGAGATGGCGCTCAAGTAATGTAGTGGCTCACGTGATATACCCCTAAGCACCTTTCAATCATGATGCCTCACAAACGCTGGACGTCGAATGTCTGTAATGGTTATGTCCATTCGTGCCGGAAGAGCTGACTAGAGACATCCCTGAGTTTAATATTAAAAGACCTAGACCTCGCCGTTTTCGAGGAACGAATAAGAATCGATGTTTAAAAATAGCACCAACTCCTCCTGAACTCACTGACATGGGCGCTAAACTCTCTGCATTAGCCTTGCCGCGACCTTGTGTCGCCCTAATCAGTCTCGCATTCGGGTCTTCCCATCCTTATCCTTGTACTGCGAAACTGAGTTGTTAAACTCCTAAGGCCGGCTTGACTTTCCAGGTCGTCAAAATTCGTGGGAACAACACCACTCTTCCCGCTCGCTCGAGCTTGGCGCCGCCGTTGATCAGAGGAGCTCCTTGTTTTACGGCTAATACATTTATTAAACATGCGGTTGCCCACGGATGTTCCGGACAAGTCTTGCGGACAGTTTCCGGAAAGTTTCCGAATTGCAGAACCTCATCCTAGAAAGTCGCGGTGGCCGGGCAGATACGAGGGGTGTGACCGAGGGTGATTTTTAACTACCCTGGGAAAAGTTCACTATGTAACAGGAAGTATCTCGAGGAGACTTCTTCAGTGGCACCACGCTCACCAGGAAACATTCGACACAGACGACACCGGCAAGAGCAGGGTTCCTTACCCTTGGCTTCAATTATATCCTCCTATGTAATTTCTTATCCCTCTAACGTAAGCAGTCTTCAACAAAGCGGTATGGATCCCTCCTATTTACCAAGGTGTAGAAATTGTTAACACCGACATTAAAATTGAGTTCAGAGCTCATAAATGCAAAATCTTTATCTCACTCAATATAAACCGCCATCAGGTCGGCCTCGGTGCTGGGGTCGAAAACCTCGCCGTACATAAAAACCGTGGCAGTATGCTTCGCCAACGTATTTAGAGAGATATTTCATAGTTTTCAGAGACCGTAGAAGGATCGGAGACGAGCCTTGAAAGAGCACAACAACGACTTGCCCCGGCCGCAAAGTCAAGGGTCCAAGGCCGACACAATCGCCACTAGTCGGAAACACCGTCTTCTCTACCGCTGTCTAACAGCCATGGAGAAAGTTGCACGATCCTTAAGGTCTATGGCTCCTCTAGCAACGGGAATGTGCTGGCGAAAGTAAAGAATTAAACGGGTCAACCAAAACTTTTTGTGCCATCGAGCGGCGAGGCGGCGGGCGAGGTTCGTACATCGGTATTAAAAATCGAAGCCGGTCCGTCTTGTTTCCCTATAAAACCTGCCACTCCTTCGGGGCCAAGCTCCGTCGCATAAAGACGAGCCAAGAGTCTGATTTCGTTCATATATGGACTATGGGAAGGATACTCTGCTTGCCGACCCTTCTATTGCATCAAGTAGAAACCCTTTTGCTGAAAGGGTCTCTTCGTCTTCTTCGGCTCATAGTGGCTGTAGCGTGTCGTCGGTAGGTGAACCCTTCTGCTTTTGGCCATCTGGCCCGAAATGTATTTTTAGGTACTGAGGTACCCATGTTGGGAGACTTGATACCTTCTTTGCTACCTGGTTGCGAGTAGAGCAGAAAGCCCAAGTTCCCCCTGATTGCTAGGCTGGCAAACTTAGTGAATACCCACGAGTAGGAGGGTTGAGTTTTATGAAGGATGATTCCTGAGAAATAGCTATATATACATGAGCCTTCGTGGAGATTTATGGCCCGGCGTGGCGAATCAGTCACGTGACAGCATCTCCTACCACTTTGGTTCAATATTAGGGTTGTTTTGAAAGGTAGGATCTTCCGGGCCGCCTCTTTTCAACTACAGTCGAGGGTTTTATAACCCGTCGTGCCTTCGATGTCGTGAATTACTCTTTGTCTTATTACCGGCCTATCACTGGGGATCTTGGTTTGGGGCCTCCCGTATTGCTAAGTGTGTTCGGTATCAACTGAGCCCACAAGAGTCTCACCCGCTCCCCCTTGGGTTCTTGACTTGGCCGTACTATCTAAATCCTGAATCTGCACCGGCTCGCCTCGGGGCCTGCTTGCCAATGTTCGGAACGGCTTTTTCTTCCTCCTTTCGAATCGCTTCCGAAACGAGTACAATGTCGGCGCGTTTGCCACAAATGTTGCTGCAAGAAACTCGCCCGTTGTCCAAGTGATGCGAAAGGTCTCGGAGCCCGGATTTTTGAGCGTACGAGGTATTCGAACTGCTGTAATAATAACGATCACGAAACCAACGCAGAAGAGGAAGCCCAGTTGAACTTTTCTGTAGACGTATGAGCAATTCCCACTATGATGAGATAGGGGCGACTAACTTGATAATACTTAAGTGGACTTGGAGAAGGATAGGGATAGGGAGAGCTATGAGCAGTAGATCCGTGGACATATTAAGGATGCCAACAACAAACAGCTGAATTATGGCTTCGTTGCATTTTCCTTCTCATGTAAATAAGCACAGTTTTTGATATCAGGAATAGGGTCTTGCCTGGATCTGGAATTACTACCCAATAGAGGCTGAATGGATGGCATTCCACAAATGTGAAAATAATGCTTAAGCAGAACGTGATAATAAATGTTACCAAGTAGCAAATGAGAGTTGGTTTCGCCCAGGGCATATCCTTCACTAACTTCTTATAGAACTCCAGGAGTACAAACTTTTGCGTCCAGAGACTGTATCCACTTGTCAGTGATCCCTGGAGTAAATCCACTTCCCCACTTACAGCAAAATATACAACGATCGCGCCACTAATGTAAATTTGCTACCCATCTCCCGGTGGTAAATGTCCAACTTGCTGAAATGATGTGTGTCTCTGTACTCATCACTGATATTATTCGTCCCCCAAATAACAAGCACATGAGTGAAAGCAATCCGTGCTATGGAGAACACAATTGCAGCGAGAGTAAGCCGATCACCAACGTCAAACTTCTGCTTGCACAATCGTCCCAGGACCAGCCGAATAACCATGATCACGACAGCTAAGCCGTAGAGTATCCATATCGTTGCAAGAGAGCTCGTGGCCATACTTCGACCCCTCCCTGCCCATCTTCGGAATTCTGTTATGGCTTTTGTATGAATATGAATGCTGGTTCCACGTAGGCGGCGAGAAGCGCGCACCGCAGTCTATGGCCTGTAGGACCAGTATTTGAAGAAACTAGAACCTTCGACCCGGTTAACCGGAGTGCTAATTCTGAACTGGCGGTGAGAAAAGCAAGGTGAGTAATCGCCATGCATCTCCCGCGTTCATGCCGAAGCGTACGGCTGATGTCGGGGATAACTCACAGCCACGACTGCTCGATGTGGGTTTCGCCCAATAAAAACCCAGGAGATACCAAAGCCTTAATACGACTTGAGATGGCTTCACAACTATGTTACACCTCCACATCGTTTCTCCACGCATTACCCTTGGAAATGTTAGCAGTGCTGTCCGTACCGGTCGTGATTTTGGAAACAGAGTTCCCAGACACCCAAAGCAATCGCGCAATGCCACAAGAACATGCCGACCAAATATCCGACTTCACAACGGAAGTGAGAACCGATTCCCGGGACTTTTCCATATCGAGGTGAGTTGCAGGGACAAGCTTAATTGGAATAATATTTATAAGAAAACTGACGAAAGTAAAATCGAGGAGTATCATATGGTAATAATGAGCAGCTACGGGTTGATTTAACGACGCTACGGCAACAATTATTTTTTTTGGAAAATCAAAATTGATGAATCGCGATTTTTTTTTGGCCGCATTTATATGGAAAACACACCTAATTATGGCCAAATAAACAAACCCCATACATCATAGTCAAATGCCCTAATAATATTACCCTGCCCTCGCTGATTTGAACTGCCCCCGATTTCCCCTACGTTTTGATGGCCTATTCCCCGGCCTATAATCACCATCCCCTGGTAATTCCTTCTCTCCATCGTCAAGATCTGAATTATCATCGTTATCGCTTAATATAATCACCTCCCGCTTCCTCTTTAATATAGACTTCAGAGGACGTTGAGTGGGTGGAGCGGGAGCGGGAGCGAATGCTAGTAAAAACGTTAGATCTACTAGTATATTTAAATTTATTAACTTACTAGGTACAGAAGCAGGATCAGGAGTAGGATCAGGAGCAGGAGAAACCGTAATTCTAGCTCCTAGCGTAGGCATATCGTCCGAATCAAGGTCGTCCAAATTAAGGTCGTCACCTGACCCATTCCTATTCTCTGCAGGAGAAACCTTCTCCCATATAGCTTCGATTTGTTGATTAGGAGTCGAAGCAGGTAAAGAAAATACCATAGATATAGCTATAGATATAGATATCGTATTAGGGGTAATATCAGGAGATCCCCCTAAAGAAGGGGTATAATTTAGTAAAGGCATCTCTCTATTCCTCCTTTTATACTCATCCTGAATCTCGTTATCTCTTTCTTGAATTTTATTAATATCTTGATTAAATACAAGATAAATATGCTTTGGTATACTCTTATTTAATTAGCTAAAATGAGATAATAAGCCGTTAATATCTTTTTTAGCTTTATATATAAGATTAGTTATATGATTGATTCTCTTGTTTTTGTCCTTTGGCCAAATCTAATTATATTAGTACTAATTTTATTAGGATACTAATAAATACTAGCTTATTTTACTTGCAAAAGAGACTTTATTTGTGTATTCTAAGATTATAATCCATTGATTAAGCTCCCAGTCTTCAAGTAACGGAATTGATAATAAAAAAGCCTTGGCTAAATATATAGCGAATTCCTTATATGCCAGTTTTTGACTATAATAAAAAACTATATTAGTAAAGTGGTATTTCTATAAGTGAGCTTTATATACGTATTAAACTGTTCTATGCTCTATAGCTTAATTTGAATAATTTGAGCCTCCCGGTACTCTTCCAAACTAAGGAACTTCTTTATAGTTGAAGCAGATATACTCCTCCTAGTAAAGCTACTCTCGATCTCTTCTATTTTATATATATATAGTATAATAGAAATAAGGACCTTGTATCGTTTTTCGATAATAGGAGTGGGAGGGATTATTGATTTACCCTTATTAAAGGCCTTTATACGTGTCCCCTGGCCGAGAGTAAGAGATCCAAAGGCTTTACTCCTTTTCTGGGCCGAACCTAATAAAATTAGTAAATAATATATTAATATTAGGAGTTAAATAGATGGATATATACTTTCGCCCTGAGCTTCCTGATAGAAATTACTATATAATTACTCTAAATGTTCGAGCTTAGCCTGCTGCCTCCTCTTATATACTTCTGCCTTAAGGACCTCTTCTAAGAGATCTATATTCGGGAGGTGGTAAAAAGGATAGGAATTAGCTGAGATATTAATTCTTTGATCTCTTAATAATTGGGCGGTAGTATTTTGAAGTTGGGTTTGACTAGAAAATAGTATACCGTCTAATATAATAATTAGTATAGGAGTAATAGGAGCCGGAGGAGGAGTAGCAGGGTTAATCGTACCGTATAGTAGATACTTTATTATAGAGGGGGGGTATAGTACCTCCTGTATAAAACAAGAGTTCTATAGATTAATATTATCTATTATAAATGTTTAGGGATAAAAGAATAAGGATTTGATTTATAATTGAATATTAGAAGGAGAGTATAGCTAATAAATCTAGAAGTTTAGTGAATAGTAGTATAAAGATAATTAGTAGGATAGAACTATAATATATTAATATTATTTTAATTCTTTAGCCTATATCCCTATAACTTTTTCCCTAAAGAATTTATATACTAGGGACCTATTTCGAAGATTATTGATAGTAGCATATTGCTAATATATAAAAAGGAATAAATGCAAGGACTATAAGGGATATCCCTTAGTATAAATTAAAATTGGATTTATTTTATTTATCTCTAGTATTATTATTACTTAAAATATGGTTTCCTATATTAGGGGCAATAGAATATTAAGTAAGGGGCTATAGGAATTAAGGGGGAAAAATTAAATTCTATATATTAAGATATAACTCCTGTTATTTTTACTAAATATGTCTTGTAATTACTTTAAAAGTTTATAAAAACTATTAATTTAATAAAGCTAGTATTAACGGAGAATTTGATCTATACTATAAAATCCTTACTGCCAAAATAATAAGTTAATAGAATAATTATAGGGGATATGGAAATTAAAGGGATAGGGGTTAATTTTCTGAGGAGGCGAATCATATAACCTTTTGATATTAAATTGGAAATAAATCACCTATAACTATATAAATTTGACTTATTAAGCAGATTACTATTAACTTCTATATTTAATTACTTTAGTAAATATTAATGTTTTTAGCTAATTCTTTCTTTGGAATATATATTAATATGTCTTTATTTAACTTCTCTAATACCGGACAAACTGTCTAATATTTACAGGAGGAATTTCTAGATTATCCTCCTTTTCCGCTTCAGGCTCAGACGTATATCTATCCTCTATAAACTGCCTATACTCTTGGCTATTTATAACCTAATTGCCATTTGCCCTATTAAAAGTAATACTATCTATAGTAAATCTAGTACCTTCCGTATTATCTTTAACCTCCGCTTTATTATTAGAGCTAATATAGATAAGATCTTTATCTCTATAGCTAGTATCTCTCCCTTTATTAATGAACTGAATACTATCTTGATTATTATAATCCTTTAGCCTTGCCTCTTTTAATTCTACTACTACCTCTGGTAATGGATTCTAATTATATATATCCTTGGGTATTAATAAAAGCCCTAGCTTTGGACAAGTATTCTTTGTATTAATTAGGTGGTCGGTAATTGATTCCCTTAAATATATATAGGCACTCAGGTGGTTTATCTCTCTATTCGAATCATATATAGACTCTGTAATTGGGAGTATAAAGCCGGTATTCTTAAGTTCTTGCTTATACTACTTAAGTATAACCTCCGGTAAATATATATCTTTATTATAGCTAGTATACCCTTTATATAGCTCGTTTAGTTTATTAATATTAATAGGAATACTGTAGTCCCTGACCCCCTTTTGCTCTGAAAACATATAGTTCTGGAAGGGTTAGCCAGAAATAATATATAGATGATTAGGCTATTTCCTAATTAAATGGATATTCCAAACCCGGATAAACTTCTCAGTTTGCTCTTGTATAATAGGTAAATAGACGAAAAGTATAGCTATATAATCGGAGAGAAGTTTGTAAGAGTAAAGCCTTTGAGAGTATAGTTGCTTAAAAAATATCTTCTATTTATTTAGTATATTCTATATGATATTAGCTAATTAAATTAGTCTTTATAGGATTAGACTAAATAAATTACCTTTGTAACTTGCCCCTACTATATCTTAATTCGTTAATTAGCTGTACTAGTCCCAAACTAATAAAGATCTGAGAACTGATATGGATTAATATCCCTTGTTTGGTATATTGCTTTATAAAGGATATAATGGATATTAGTAACTATGGGTATTTCGCATCCTCTATCTAATTGAATATAAAGTGGAATAATCTCTATTTCGTCTACTAAGTCAAGGTATTAAACTAGGATAGCAACCTAGAAGGTGGTATAAGTAAGTATATATTAGTGTGATATTAATTAGGCCAAAGAAGAATATAGTATAGAGATTCAGGGGTTTTATTGCCTAAATTAAGTATAATTCAAATAACTAGTTCTCTATAATACTACAGAATTATATAGCCGGAATTATAACTAAGTGAATATTGGCCATTTCCGAGGGGGTATATCTATACCGAATTAGGAAGTAATACTGCTTATAGTATAACCATTTGAGATTCTAATATAAATCCAAGATATAAACCGTAAGTAGGTATTAATACCAGTATATATCTCAATGCCACAAAATCGTAGCTAAGCAAATGTATTAGTAGTTATTGAAATAATGATTTTTGAAGTTGAGTCTATACTGTACTTACCTTGTAATAGCCATTAATAGACTAAACAAAGTTCGGCCTATAAATATTATATTCCCCTCTAGCTGCCTTTATCTCTTCCTATTGATATTATATACTTTCAGGATCAAGTTCCTGTATTACAGAAGCTATTCTATTCCTAGAAAACTTCTTACTATTACCTAGGGAATTGAGATAAGTATATAGAAGCCGGTAGCCATAACTTCTAGTATTACCTTGTAGGCCTTTATCGACTATATATTGCTTGAGAATATGGCGCAATTGCTCCTTTTCTAGCTCAACTTGCGAATTAAGCATTCGACGTCGAAGGCCTATAGCTCGGCGAGCTTGTTGTAATAGTCGTAGATTAGGAATATTATATCCTAAGCTCCGGAGGTTGGCAAGTATATTGGCATTAGTCGTATGGATATCACAAAAGAGCCAGGCGATAAGAGCCTTTACCTGAGGAGTAGGATCAAATATCGAACGCTGGGGAGGTACTTTCTATTCGGAAAGCCTACTGCGTAAAGTTCTAGGGGAAATATCGACGTTAAAGTCCTGCTTTAATCTCTTTGCAATCTCATTATGTGATAATTTTTGCCTAATTAAACAAAGTATATGGGCTTGATAGCAATCGTAATTAATCTTTAAACGAGCCATTATGAAGAGATTAATAATAATAGATCAAGAAATTAAAGATAATAATAAAGGAATAGAAGTATGAAAGGAGTATGAGTGGGCTAGTAGGTAGTTACCAGGGGGCATGTCACGTGCATTTTATTGATTTTCCCACCTTATTGCATTCCCACCATGGAATGCGATAAAAGACCATATAGATCGATTGTTTTAATTATATTCTACTATAGGATTTACGTAGATTATTAGTAATATCACATTTTTAAAATATCGCAATTTTGATTTTGTAATTTTCCAAAAAAAATAATTGTTGCCGTAGCGTCCTTAAAGGAGCCCGTAGCAGCAATGCTTTGACAAAAAGGCCCGCTTCTCGGAGCGGATCTTTGCCTACCAAGTAAATGCGCACATTCCAATTGGTGTCCCTTTTCTGATAGCGGCTATTAAAACACTGGAGCCTTCTATAATCATCGTTTCCAACGAATTACGGCAGTCTTTTCGGGAGATGAGCATTCAACTCACTGACCGTTGATCGGACTTGAACGTCCAAGATGGAAATGTCTGTTTTCAGGTTCTAGTATTAACCAAGGAATTTGGCAAGCTGAATTCTCAAATGGAGATAATCCAGCCTTGTACATCATCGTGACCAGTAGATATATGTTAGAATATCTAGTTGGAGAAAGAAAGCTCCGTGCTCACACTAAAGCTGAAAGTGCTAATTGCCAAGTTGCTATATAATCCTTACTAATACCTATTTAGAGTTCTCCCGCCACCCTAGGTCAAAGATATAGTAATCCAGAAGCTTTTCGTAGAGTTTGGAGACGCAGTTTTCTAGCCTGGGGCCCCCTAACCGCTCGCTTAAGAACACTCGCAAAATTTACAGGCGCTTTGATCGCTAATCCCCAACCGAGATTATAGGGGCAATTGCGCCCCAGAGCCTGTGCTCGCAGCTCTAATAGCTTTTCCCGCCGCGACGGGAGACGCTAACTAACCTTGGGGTGTTAGGGCCCCTGTCTCCGGAATTCCATTGACCACCTCCCCGAGCTTTCAACTCGAAAGCGGTATCGTCTCACCCCATGAACAAAGCACCTTATCGGAAGAGTAACACGAACAAAAGATATTATTCATAAGTCCGAAGTACCTCGTCTGGCGATTGCGACGGAACACTTCTTCCATGTATGTCACCGATTATCTTCTAACTCGCATTGGGAGAGAAATCCGACCGTTCGCAGAGAGATAAGCCAGCTCGAAGTTGTTATCGCTTGCCCGCGCCGAGGGCATTACGTCAGGACCAATGTGAGGGGTAGGCTATGATCCCGGTACGACCACCACACATCGACGAGGGTATCTAAAAACACGCCAAGTACGGAAATCCTCCTCTCTCGCCCTCTTATAGGTTGGATATTCCAAATCATGATTCTGTTGTGTTGCAAATCCAATGAGGGATTATTTTTTCCCCCAGCGATATTTCACCATCGCTGCAGACCCGTGTCGCGGCTGGACCGCTCCAAGGACTGTCCCATTCCTAGAGCATATTTTCTTACTTCAGCGTCTTTATATTACCCTGACCCCTCCACTCTTGTCATCCCTTATGTTCGTCTCCTTCTTTTCTCAACGATATAGTCGCAATGATGGACGAAAAACGCTCTGGTGTCGAGACGCCACTCTATCCCTACGAGGAGGATGGAATTATTACCTCAGGGAACCGCCATTTCACCGGTGAACGTGATGTCTTTGGGAATGAAGAAACCCACCAGATCAAGTATAAGACTTTGAGCTGGCAGCTGGTGGCCGTTCTCATGATTGCCGAGATCGTCTCGAATGGCATGCTCAGTCTTCCCAGCAGTGGCGGTGTCGTTGGTGTAAGTCATCGTTGCACATATAGACATGGGGACCATCTAATGCTTTTCAACAGCTCATTCCTAATGTCATCCTTATCGTGGTAGGTATTCTTACTGGCTTCAAGGAGAATAGGCTTCTGATCTGATCCATAGTTTCTGGGCATTTTCGGCACTTTAACGGCTTATCTGTTGGTTCAATTGTAAGTGCATTTGCGTTTATAACGTGTCATTTCACGCTCATAGCTTTGGATTTCTATCACGTCACTGCACTTTTACCAATATTGCAACAATGCGGTTTTGCAGGGAACCCGGCAAAAATCTTATATCTGTCCTACCCACGATGGTGTCCCCGAGTGGCAAGCACGCTGTTTGAACGCTCTCTTCTTCCATCTTGCTTTGCCACAAGGGCTCAGTATACCTCGTTGTTGGACAAATTCTATTGTATGATTAGCTCACCTTGGTACTTGACTTCATGGATGTATCTACTGCTGCTTAAAGGAAAATTTGCTTCTTGCGCCGAGGGTAGTTAACTGAAGAGGGGGCGAAGATTACTCCGAATGATTCCCCAGCTTTTATTACTGGCATTCATGAGCAGAAGCACTACTAAAACCAAGTAGTAAGCTCAACCATCCCGAGGTTCACAACATGGGAGATGCAGGGTACATCATCTTTGGTGTTGTGGGGAGAGAAATTCTTTCAGCAGGAACCGTTATCTTTGCAGTCTTTGCAACGGGTGGCCAACTTCTTGCTGGCCAAATCGCTCTGGGTGTCCTATCAGACTCCCGCCTTTGCCTCATGCTCTATACCGGAATCTTCACCATCCCAACTCTTATTTTCAGCTTCCCCCGCACTCTCGATCGCCTCTCATGGCTCTCAGTCCCCAGCGTCTTCTCCATCCTCATTGCCGGCATCGTCGGCATGATCGGTGCTGGAATCAACCCGCTCGAGGGCCGAACCACCAGTTTGTTCCTCCAGCCCACTTTCGTCAATGCCTTCGTCTCAGTCACCAACCCCGTCTTTGCGTACGCCGGCCATTTCATGTTCTTCATCCTCATCTCAGAAATGCGCAACCCGAAGGATGCTATGAAAGCCGCATACACCTTGCAGATCTTCGCTACTACCTATTACGCAGTGTTTGCAATCGTCACTCACTGGTACCTCGGTGACGGCGTTGTGAGCCCGAGTTTCTCTAGCCTGCCACCCGTGTGGGCGAAAGCGGCGTACGGCATCGCGATCCCAAACTTCTTGATCGCTGGAAGCTTGTACGCGCACACAGCAGCGAAATTAATCTTCCTACGCCTCTTCCGTAATTCGGAGCATCTGCACAGCCATACTTTGATAGGCTGGGGGACGTGGACCGTCCTAATTCTGATCATGAACGCCGCATCCTTCGTCCTGGCTGTCGGGGTGCCGATCTTCTCCTACTTGATCGGGATTGCGGCGTCGCTGTTTGCAAGTTGGTATACGTATGGTATCGCGGGCGCTTTCTGGCTGCATGATTCTTACTACCTGAGTGGTGACGGTGTGAGGGCGTGGAAGCGCAGACCGACGATGTTTGTGTTGAGTGTGTTGACGTTTGCGGCTGGAGGGTTTATTTGTGTTGCGGGAACGTATGTGATTGTTACATTGATCATATCGGCGTATAATAGTGGATGTGAGTTTCTCTTACTTCAAGTCGAAGATGTCGTGCTAACAAAGTGGGTAGCGGTTCCACCACCATTCCAATGCTGATGAAGCTGAGCTATGAATACCATGTGCAGTACGTAGATAGCGGCATAAAGTATCGGGAATACAGGGCATTATTTTATGAAGGCCACTAAATGCCCTGTAAGGTCTTACTTTAATCTCCCTGTAGCTATTCCTGGTTCCCTGTAAGCCCTATAAGGGTCCCCTGAAAGTGTGGCTTACCCCGCTATTACTTAATAAGCCTCTGATTTTGATTATTTTTTAATAACTTTGATTCTAATATATAGTAATTTTCTCTTCCCCCTTTTTCCTCCCTTCTTTATACTTATTACCCCCTTCTAAACGAATTATCTCTTTCACGTAATAAGGAATTGCCTCAATCCACTCCTGAATCTTACTTTAGGGTAAGTCTTGCTAGTACTTCTCCCACCTTGCTTTAAGCTTCTTTCTATTAGTTATTAGCCCCCGCTTTATTATTTCCTTTTTCATATAAAACCAAGCCTTCTCAATTATATTAAGATTAGGTAAGTTTACTAGCCAGAGCATTTTTATAATCCTCTATAAGCTATAAACTGCTCCTTAGTAATAAGATTTATATACTAGTATATTATTCTCCTGAATAATCATATTAGGTTAATTCTTTTAGTATTCCCTTATAAAGGGCAAAAGCTTCTCAATAAGGATCTTCTTTTAATATCTATACTAATTAATCCCGCCTCGACCATTCTTTACTACAAATACACTAGTAGCCTCGTTATGCTTCCAAGTTTTTTATATCCCTCCAAGAGCCCGTCTATATACCTTTATCTAATCCCTTAGCCACTTCCTTTACTCCTTTTCCCACTTCTGTTTATTCGCCTTCTTAATTAACGAATTCCTTGTATCCAAATTAGCCTTTCTTTCTTTCTTCTCTTAAGAAGTTTCCTTCTCCCATATATAGCAAGGCCCCTTCTTATTATATAAAAACAATCCCCAGAATATAAATTCAGAAAAGCCTTTCTAATATTATTTTATATAATACTTATTATATACTTCTCCAGATAATCTCTATACTCTTCTCTTTCCTCTTATACTTCCCAATTATACCATAGTTTCGTCCATAAAAATAATATCCTTCTATTCCTCAAGTATCTAATATTCTCTCTCTAAATACCAAGCCAATCGCTCCGCTATATTTAGCTTATTTAAACCAGGTTTGACTATTAATTTATATTAAGAGTAGCCTATATACGTAAGAACCTTCTAAATTATTCTTGGTATAATCTCATAATCCCGCTTTCTTACTTCTTTTATAATTATTATATAAGAAAAGCCTTTTATAATAGAATTTTGAAGAATAACTTTCAAAATATACTTAATTACTTTAGAGAAGATTATAGATCGACCAGATCTTAGTATATTAAGTATATGGGAGACCTCTAAAGGTATATTCTTATTCTCTACCTATCTACGCTCCCTAGCCATAGCTGCGAGTTAATAAAGAGCTATTTTGGGTACTCCTATAGCTTCTCTGATTTGTCCCAAAGACTTCTTGTCCTCAAGTATATAAATAGCCTTGATTCTGGCACTAGTAGAGTACTCTTTGGGCCCAAGAGTAGCAAGTATAAAGGCAGTTAATAAAGCAGGTAATAAAAGGGCTGGTTTAGCTGAATTATTATCTGAATTATCCGAATCTGATAGTAAATTATACCATACATCCTTTTTATCTTCGGTATATTCGTTATCTAACGAATTGGGAGAAGAGGCGAGCTCTGATTAGCCATCTAATAAGTCAGGGAAGTCAAATAGACCTCCAAAAGTAGCTATAATAATAATTAAACTAAAATTGAAAAGCAATAAAGTATATTTAATAAATTAGAATTAGAATTCAGAACCAAGTATATATAAAGAGGTATGTATTAGGGCTAATTACCCCCCCTTTACTCGCTATTAATTAGTAGACTCGCCTATATTTATGGGCGTTTGGGGGCGTTTAGCACCTGTTAAGCTGCATAAGCCCATATTAAGCCTTCAGGGCACTTTTAGTAAGCTTATAGGGGCTTACAGGGGACTGGGACTAGCTACAGGGATATTAAAGTAAGACCTTACAGGGCATTTAGTGGCCCTCATAAAATAATGCCCTGTATTCCCGATACTTTATGCCACGATCTCCGTAACGTACTCTCTCTGCGCATGTATATTTACAATACAATTCGAATTTATCTCGATTTACTATACCATAATGTATGATTGCGAGTTTTACCCCACCCATTTCATGCCTGCAGACCTGAAATGATGCATAGCAGCCAAAATCTTCACTAAAATCAAACTTCCAAACTTGACCGAAGGTGATACACACTTGCTTTGCCGAAAAACGACTTTAAGCAGTGATGTTATTGGGCTTGTTCATATTACATGAGGCTGAAATAAATCCCCCAAGAAGTGATCCACGCCGCTCGAGAAGTTCTCCCGTACATTGTTCAGAACACCTGTACCGGATCTACATGGTGTGGCGTCGGCGGGGTAGGAAAGGCGGGTTGGCATTCGACCTCACTCGTGGCTAAACACATTGTTACGTGCGCATGAAGCTCCAAGTTTTAGGTCATGAATTCGTAACGCTAGGTAAACAAAGAGGTATCTAAAATCCATCTATAGTTAACACCTTTCCGCGCTTGCCGTTGTCCTGTGTATACCTTCCATCTAAACACCAAATATTATCAACTGACTTCCCTCCATCCCCAACCCTTGTCGACGTCACGACACACACGCTGCACCAACAATCGCATCAAGCGCAGAACTCTGCGTCTCCACCGTCGCGACCACATTGGCCTGCCCACTCCAAACAAGCCCCAGTTGATTATTAACCCCCTTATCTTTCGCCCAGATCTCATTCGCGTTATTCTGCAAAAAGCTCACAAATTGAGTCTTCAAGTTCGCCGGCAGGACATTCGCTCTATTGACCAAGAACTGGATATTCCGTCCATAGATGCCTTTGAATTGCGAGAGATCCGTGCTGCAGTTCGGTTCGCATGTTTCGTGGAGGATCATTTGAGAGTTGTTGGCATAGTGAGCCATTGACGCAGTAGCCAAAGTATTGGCCAGATTATTGTACTTCGGATCGCCCGTGGACCAAGTCAGCTCTGCCAGACCGGAGAGGATGACGCCCTGGTTGTAGGTCCATCCTTCTGTGCCGCTGTTCTGGCAAGGCTTGACGTCGATGTTCAGACCGTCGTTGATGATGTTCTTTGAGTTGATCATGCCGGAGGCCATGAACCAGTCGTAGGCTTCCATGGCCATAGTGAAGTATTCGCTGTTTGTTGGAATTCGATTGGCGAGTTTTACCGAAGCTGTTAGGAAGAGCTCGTTTGCGATGGCGTTCACGGAGGTTTTGGCGAAGTCCCACCTGGAAGATGTGATGTTAGTGAGGTGGCGGCGGGGGGACGGGGAGGGAAAGGGGGACAAACCAAATTCCACCAGAGCAGGGTGTGGTGTTCCATACGCTCTTGGGGTCTTCGTATATCTCGGCTGCTTTATTAAGATATTCCACCTTCCCCGTGACATCATACACCTTTATCCAAGCCAACACCCACCATAACTCATCATCGTAGAAGGTGTTCAAGAATGAGCCTCGAGGAGAGAAAGGCGAGGTCGCGACTTTTAGTGTGTTGGCGAAGATGGTGAGGATTTCCGAGTTGTGCCCGGGGAAGGAGTTCTCATAGTCTGCGAGCATGGTGATGACATTTGCACTGTTCCACCAGTGGGCAGTGAACTTTCCAGTGCTGTCGGTATTGCCAAAGACTCCGAGTGCAGAATTGTAGAAGGTGAGCATCTCTTTAATGCCGGCGTCAGCATATGACGTGTATGCAGCTTGCAGAGTTGCATCTCGGCGATTTAACCTTGACCCTATTTGATGATAGGTAGATTGAGGTTGAGGAAGAGCATTGCAAATTGCAACAGCGGAAAATATAACAGACAGAACTCGAGGGGTTGATAGAAACATTGTAATCACGTGATGGACAACAATGCTTAGAAGCCAAAAGGGGTATCAAACTTTTGATGTCTGACAGAAACAGCAGCCTCCACATCTTTATAAGAAGGAACAAGCTCTGAGAATATGATCTAACCTCTCTTCCGCACTCGCGGAAGCTAGTACAGCATTGCTCTAGGAAATCATCTCCATCATCAAAGAACCACTAAGCTCTAATTTGGGTACTTCCCTGCCCCTCAATTGGGCGAATGTTCCTAGGTTGTTTCATTTCGCATTGCTGCACCGCAACAAAACTCCGAAGCAGCGAGGCGCTGGCTGTCATCTTGGGCCAAACATGCCAGCAAGGCCCTGTCTCCAGGGGGCTTCGCATAAGAATCATCTCAACTTGGCCCGGCGGAGGCGATGTTCCTCTTGCGCAACTCCTGTCATTGGATGAAAATGTGCTTCTGGGCAGAGGATGGCAGAGTCCCTAATCTTCGGGACGCCGCCAAGGGGGGCGCTGGGAGATCGACGTGTTCCTGCAGGATTGTTCTCGATGGCTGATCCTGGGTCGAACTTTAACGTCAACGACGCGATGAACTGTTTCTTGGGAAGCGGTCAGGAGATCAGCATTCACGTCACTCACGTGGCAGGGAATTGTTAACATCGTGACTTGTTTTCTGTTCCTTCGCTGGCAGGAAACAACGTGGTCCCATAAGTTGGGGCTGGGAATGTTGCTTAGCCCCATAACATGAGGCGATATACCGTCAACGTGCTGGGGGTTGAAACGATGCTTAAATCTTAGGTGGGTGGCCGCGCCCGCCAGCCAAGTGTTTTCAGTCTCGTTTTGCAAGCCACAAGTAAGCTGATAGGTCTTCTAAAATAAGAGGTCAGAAAGTTGCGCATTTGAGCCTCGTTCGCGATTTGAGGATGTTTGCGAGACGGTTTTGATTTTCGTAAGATTGAAGTTCAGGAATCGTGCCCTGGCGTCTCGCTTTACGGAAAGCCGTAAGGATCAGATATGCCAACGAGATTTAGAGATTACTGTTTAATGATTACTATTTGGCGATTACTGTTCACCCCACCAAAATTCCCCCGCACCTACACCCCCCCTAACCCCTCCCTAAGCCAATACTATCACTTAAAATATTTATTCTCTCTCTTTAATTCTTAAAATTATATATAAGTATAGGAGTAATAGAGAGAGAGGGTATATGGAGGGGGGGAGGGGCGTTGAGGAGGGCGAGCGAGTAAAAGTAAAGAAGTAAAAAGCGAGAAGAAGTGAATTATGAGACTTGTAAGTTGCGAGGAAAAGGAAGCCCTATAATTATAGGCTACTTGTCGCTAAACTATAGGCTCTAGGTACTAAAAATTTAGTACTTAACTTTTTCGTGAGGTATTATATAGGTTTTTAGTAAGATCCCTCGCTTTGCTTGCGCCCCTCTTCCCCCCACTCTACACTCCCCTAATATCCACCCTTTCTTACCCCTATACTTATATATATAGAGAGAGAGTAGAATTAAAGAGAGTAAAGAGAGTAAATATTTTAAGTAGTAGTAGTAGCTTAGGGAGGGGTCAAGGGGGGAGTATAGGTGCGGGCGAATTTTGGTGGGGTAAATAGTAATTATTAAATAGTGATCGCTAAATCTCGCTGGCACATCTGATCCTTAAGGTTACGGCTTTCCGTACCTGGCGTCTCGCTTAGTTTTAGCCCCTTAGAAGGTTCACCAACCAGCGCCTCTGGTTAGTTGTTGCTATACAGAAATCCGGGCCGAAAATTCACGTTTTCTATATTAACTTCCATAACACTAGCAATTAAATGTTTACAATTTTTAGAGGGCACTCCTATAGACTGTGCATTAATTAATATATTTTTTAAGGGAACCTAAGTGTGCTGGCTGTTAAAGAACTTAATCGGGGGTTTGATTTCCAGGCTGGATTCTGTAACAAGTTTGGCGGTATAGCACGACTAAGCGGAAGCGCGTGCCAGCCAACGCCGACACCACTCAACTACCAAGCTTGGGTTTGACCACAACAACATAACTTGAGGAAATAAACTCTATGTTCAGACTCCTCGGAGTATTCTTTATAATCTATGAAGTTCTGGGGATTTCCAAAGCACTTTGAAAAAAAAAAAAACCTTGTCATTTTTTGGTATGCTGACAGGGGTAAAAGTGGGCGGTTGAGTGGTGTGGGCATTTGGCTGGTGAATCCTTCTATCGGTAAAGGTAGTGAAAAGTTCAGGGGCCAGCCTACCTCAACTTCAACTCCCCCCTCTCACAGCGCCTTTCTCTTACTTTCTGGTTTCTCCCCGAGTTGTAATCTCATCGAACAAGGAATTCTCTCATTCGTTCACTTCTCAAGGTTCGATCTTGGTTCTCACTGTTCACCACAGACAGCGGGTTTCAGCAGCTGCGTCATTCCTTGATTTCCTCACCCGACGCTGAGCTGAGTCACAATTATGGCAACGACAAACGGCACCACGCTCAAGGTGGAAAGGACTCTCTCTATCATTGGATGCGGTGTGAATGCGCGAGAAGTGGAGATCTGGATAAGGCTGACATTTTACTAGGGACCATGGGCGCAGCGATCCTATCAGGAGTCCTGGAGTCATGTTCACGTGCTCAAGCAAACGGAGAAGAGCCCAAGATATCTCGCTTCATTGCAACAGTGAATAGCGAGGGCTCTGCGGACGCACTGCAAAGGAGATTCGAAGCTTATGCAGATCGATTTGACGTTCGAAGGGGAGAAAACGTGACGGCCATGCGGGAAGCGGATATCGTGCTCTTGGCATTCAAGCCTTACATGGTTGATCTCGTGCTTCGACAGCCAGGAGTGCGGGAGGCACTAGCTGGAAAGTTGATCATTAGTGTTCTCGTAGGGTCACCTCCTGCGAAGTTGGAGGAAGCGATTTTCAACAGGGATTCGGATTTTGATTGGGGCGAGATTCCGAGGAAGGAGCAAGGGAAGCCGTTGTACATCAAACGAGCGATGTTGAACATCGCCGCCGAGTTCCGAGAGTCAATGACCGTCATTGAGACAACGAACATGCCAAGACAATATGAAGAAATAACAGAGTGGATCTTCCTTCAACTCGGCAAAATCCAACCAGTGGCACCGGACCTGTTCGACATCGGCGGTGTGCTGGCCGGTGCTTCGGGCGCATTGCTCTCTGTTGCATTTGACGGGATGTTAGATGGAGCCGTGAAGCAGGGGTTGAAAAGAGCAGATGCAAAGAAGATCTTGACGCAGTCGTTGTTCTCGATGGCGAAGTTGCTGGAGAATGAGCATCCCGCGGTGTTGAGAGAGAGGTTCTCGAGTCCGAAGGGGACGACTATTGATGGTTTGTTGAGTTTGGAGGAGGATAGAGCGAGGTATGCGTTTAGTAAGGCGGTCATTGCAAGTACGAAACGGAGTTTGGAGATTGGGAAATAGAAGTGGATCTGCCATCACTGTGCTTAGAATTCCGATTTTTGATTTGACTTCTACTGTATACGCGGCATTTTGTTTTGCCCACTTTCACGTCCCTTCATTTCCAATAATTGAAACCCTTCTATGGTTGGATTGAATTCACCCTGCTGTTTGAATTCTGCCTGTATCATTGGTATGGTCTCGAATCTGAAGTAATACCGATCAATTGATCGGCAAGGACGCCACGTTGAGACTTTTTGTGCACCTAGTGGAACTCGTCTAAATAATTGAGCTTAACAATCGCCGAAGGTTGCTAGAGATAAACACATATTTTTGAAAACTGTATGTATTTGGAGACTTCTTCGGTCGACAACCAGACCTTACAAGTGCTCGGCGCCCCTCAACACCTCCCCTTTTGTCTTAGTGAGCTTCATATATAGCCCCTGCTGTATTGGGAAGGATGAAAGGAAGACCTCGTTCTGTCCACAAACGCGACTCTGTCCCACCGAGGTACCGGCAACAGAAGCAATGATATCTCGTGCCGGTAATTCTTCTGTGAACCCTATCCACTGTGCTTTCAGTGTGGGGGCCGAAAGTTTTATTAGTCCTAGATTTGGTAAAGGGGGCTTTTCTTGATTGGTAATGCCAGGAGCATGAGCTTGATTGCTCTTGTCAAATCCCTGTAAAAAGCATACTCGTAAGTTTCTATCCAGGATCGGCCGGCAAAGTACGCGCTTATGATAGACTGCATGTAGACAAAATTAATAGTGCTACTCCAAGCAGAGTCAAACGCGCTCATATCGCGGACTGAACAGAAGGTGTCGGCCGGATCTTGTATCTGGAATACTTGGTAGACCGCTGCATTACTCCAACAGAAATTTCCTTAGCAGTCTTGAATCTCGACAGCCACAATGAACCCATAGTTTAGGCCGAATTGAGGTTGCCCACTAACTGCCCTTGTCTTGTTGTAGGGGAGGACTTTCCACGAGCCACCTTGGCTTCCTTGAACAAGGATATATGTGTCTCCGTTGCGCTCTAGTTTCACACTCTTGACAAATGGGTTACTAGCTTCAAACCACAAAGATGAAGCTGGAGCAGTTGAGACCGTGAAGGCCTGCCTGCAAGTATTTAAAATTCACCCTTTTAGACGAATGCCAACCGAAAATATGGTGCCCTAGGTGCCATAGGTCATGGGCGCTCAACCTTCGGAAAAGATCTCCACCCCAACGTACTTGCAACACTTCATGAATGACGCACGACAAACCGAAATTGCTGTTGCAAAGGTACGAACAAAAGTATGAGAGTGAGATCAACAACGGGTACACCCGCAAAGTCCAAGGCATTTCCCGACACATCTCGAGCCCCAACAGCCACTAATAATTAAGATTTTCCTGATTAAAGTTATGAGATTCTGCATATAAATGACCCACTAAACTGGCTTGCCTTCGGCTTGGCAATATAAAGTTAGATCAACCCTTGTCCTAAGCATTACGAACGCTAGTAGAAGTATTCCACATGGTTGAAGGAATTGACCAAACAAACCCTATTACGCCAGCGGATCTGCACGTGCAATATGACTGCAAGATATGCAATCAATCTTCATCAATCTCAAACTAGACAGTGCGCTTGAACAGGGAGCTCTTAAGCTTGTCTCTACCGATACTGGGCAGCGTGCTACTGGAGCTGCATTCACGTGCACGGCAGCTTGTTTATAGGGTGCTATATTCACGTGCCATGTAGTCTGCTTACAGAGAGCTATACTCATATGCATGAGTAGGCTAAGTCGCGCGACGCCCGTAGCTGACTGTGACGGCGGGATCGAGGGAATAGCCAGGGCTCAAAGATCTAGGAATCTCATGTATTGAAAATACTAAGCTAAAGAGAAGAAGGAGAGAGAGAGAGAAGGAGAGGGGATAAAATGAGAGAAATACTAGCAAAAACCACTGAAACGCCGGCTAGCTAGGTGAAAGCAGTCATGTGACGGCCACCCCCATATGGCCCCTAGCCGGCGCCGTTACACTGACTCTAAAACACGTGGATAATATAAAGTGAGAATATACTTCTTATGCAGTCGTGACAGTAAGGGAAGAACGTGTTTCTTACCGGCCTTATATGCACGCGCTAGAGGCTAAGATATAGCGGAAAAAGAAGGCCTTATTTCAGTAAAGTTATAAAAACTGGCCTTAAGGGAGGGGGAAGGGGGCTAGGAAGGAATCAAATTCTCAATTTTATTGAAGATAGGCACGTGGGGACAAATACAATAGTATAAACCCGAGTACTCAGGATATATCTTAAGACAGAAAGAGAGGAGGAGAGAGGAGAAGAAAGCTATATACACGATGAGATGCATATCGAGATGCACGTGATCAGCCACGTGACCGTCACCTGAATCCCCACTACAATAAGTACCCTTCCAGGGCAGCCCTAGAGCGGTGCTTACATATATGAAAGAGAGTTGACCTCTTTTGACCACGAAAATTGCTACTTTGGGCTGACAATCCCGGTTCTGGACAGGGGTGTCTCCTGGGGTTGGCAGAGGCACACTGGTTTTGTAACAGAGTATGAGATTAGATAAAACATAAGAGCTAAGTTGGAATTACAACTCGCACCTCCTAAGAACATATCAGAATTAATACGTTTATTAAGATTGTCAAGACTGCCGATGCCTGAATGAATGTGCCACCCTCGTCTACCGAGATTTGTCTGCCGATCTTCTAAATAGCCTGTAAACAGGAAATTAGGGAGACAGAGGGGAGATCGAAATTTGGCAACACGGCGAAAAAAACGATCGCGTCCCCTGCTTATCTCGCGCCTTGATCATCTAATGATACCCGGAGCCTGCGAAATATGATGTACTGCATTGAAAGGACAGAAGAGAGGGGAATCCCGCCACTTGACAACCTGGCAATACAGAACGAGATCCACACATTGTACTAGTGTATCGGAGCGACTCTCTTGCCGTGTTGCTCGGACTGAATAAGTCAAAGTCAAAGCATGAATGAAAAGAAATATGGTTCATCCTAGGACAAAAGAGTAGAGCTCTGCCATTATAAGGTGATGTGTGAAAAGGATCTACGAAATAGGTCTCTATTGTCTTCTCCCGCCGAGTGCTGAGCCATTTTTTGCAGGCTAGAGGGGGAAAGTTCCACCTAAATACATCTTATTGACTGATACACGCACTCTTCAATGGTAAGAATCGCAGATCCCTTCTGGAGGTACAGAGTGCTAATTGCCTGTTTTGGCTTATTTCATGTTGCCTTGCCACTTGTTAAAATTCGCTCCGAAGCTTCCACTTGGCCCATGTCCATTGCACAGTTGTTTTGAAGCCCTCATGTCCATCCGACCAAGATCAACAAGAGGAACCAAGCTCGGTCTTCCATGCGCACATTGAAATGGGAATTTACATTTTGCCAATCTGCCCACCAGAGCCTCGCATTGCTCCTTGCTCAGTTCATCATTGAACATAATTGCGCTCCTGCAGGCACGCGAATTCAACATGTCGATGATTCCCCGTGGACAGTTGTGAATTCGTTGAAGCCAATCTCCCTCGGCTGCCGGAAGTGGTTGTGCACCTCTGTCATGAATCTTCCACGCCTCTGTCCGAATGAGATCTATAAGTAGCCTCGGATCAAGCTTACATCGTTCAATGATGCTGGGCGGAAGAGAGAGTACGATGAGGCGTTGCAATGCTGTGCCTTTGGAAGTAGTTTCGGGGTGTATTTCGTTAAGAAATTCGAAGATAATTCCCCACCTCGCGAAATATTCTTTGTATTTGTAGAGGAGCCGGGCTTCTTTGCTTGAAATCTCAAAATCAATGGGTTTGCCGAGAAGGCTTGTTCGGACGCCCGATTCTGTTGGCATGGATGTTCCTGTCACTGGCGGCGCGAAAAACTCTTCCAACAGGGTTTCGATGCGGATTCTCTCATCCGCTGCATGTTGATCTATGAGGACCAGGAGTGTACCGCCCCCAGAATCCGCTGCGCCTACGGTTTTTGCCGATTCAAGTTTCACCAGAATGAACTTCGTATCCACTTGGCAAATGACTTCGGCACGGTTCAGTGCAGCTTTTGATATCCGGCCATCAATGCCAGCAGACGATTGCTTGAAAGCTCGATCTATGTCGAGTTGGGAGCAATGACGACCACGGCCATGCAATATTTCTTGAGTGCTAGCCTCTGATCCATCAAAGGACACTCGAGGAATTGATGGCTCCGCTGGGCAGAAAACGGGATTATTCCAGGTCTTGAGAATATTGTTCAACCATGGACTCGGTCCCTCTGTCCCTGAGACGTTGGTGTTTGCGGGCCTCTGAAAGTTGGTTTCCTTGTGTGTTGTTGATGAAGAAGCAGTATTTGTGTAGCTTGATTTTGCTTTGTCGGCCCGAACAGTCAAGCCAGTACGCTGATTGACGAGAGACTTGACTCTGGTGACAGGGTTCGTCCAAGCAATTAAATCCTCGCCTGGCAGACGGGAATGGTCATGGGCCTGAAGCGTCTGCTGAGGGCCTTTCGGAATCGACGTTCGAAATTTCCCTGCCGAAAAAGCCACATCCTCAAAAGGTTGCCGAATTATTTTACCCTTGTTTGACAGCAGCGGGGTGGCCGATCTGAAATTCGTGTCTGGGATTGGCGTGGATATACGGCTGGTGGAGCTTGGAGGAGCGGAGCATGGGCGCGGAATCTTGGCGGTATCCGAGGTTTGTTGCAGTAGCTCGGAAAGGGCAAATTCCGTTGGTCTCGAACCGATCTTGACTCTCGTCCAGACATCAAATGGAGTATCTAGTCTTGATGGCTCTCGTTGAGATGAAGGAGCGTTCATGTTGGTTGCCATGGAGATTGGGCTGAGAGGACTGAATACTGAATTCTTCCGTTCCGTGCTGATCGATGCGCTCCTTGCATGGATGTTGGTAGCGGAAATTGCAGGGAATCCGGGGTCGTCGAGGACCGAGGCGTTTGCATCTTCAGCGGTGGTTGATGTTTTCGACCTGCGACTACGGCTAGCCTTGGGCCGGAAGTGATGCTTGGTCAGAAATTCCCAAATCATTGCCTGCAACAACTCCATGATTGCACCGAGACTACTCCCTTTGTCATCCAAAATGCCATCCACGTCCAGACCTCTTCCATCCGCCAATCGGAGATTCTGTTGGATGTTGATATAGAACATCGGCCATCGATAAATGCTCTTCTTGCCACCTCTCAATTCCTTGTTCGTGAAGCCGTCTCCCTTATATCTTTTATCCTTGGCTCGGCGGTCAATTTCTGAAGCATCCAGTTCCACAGCTTCTTCGTCGTTTCCAAATGAAGAGTTGAGAAACATGCGATTGATCTCATCGTGAAGTACACTGCACGTATCATGAGAGAAAAGAGGTTGTATACCGAAAGAGATAAACTGGGTGTGTTTCGTGGCACTTGGAAGAAGTGATAACGCTGAGGTGATGGCAATTTTTGGTGTGGACGCTCGCGCCGAGACCCAGAACGGTTTATCCTCGATAGAAACGAGAGAAGCTTGGGACAGGATGGAACAGACTGTTGAGACATCGATCTGGTTATAGGACACTGAAGCCGAATCGCCCGAGTATCCCCGAATAAGCAACTTCTCGTTCGTTCCAGCTTCACGAATGGTAACGGCAACAGTCTTGGGCCAAGCAAGCAGGAGCAAGGCAAGATATCGTCTCAATTCTTCCCATTCCTTGCTGTTCCCTCCTGACTTCTCAGCGGACATGGCTCTCTGCTTCACGCGAACAGGCATGTTGCCAAACAAGTCACGGACAGTGACGCGAGTGCCATGGCTAAAGGATGCCAAATGGAGCTTGGGTGGAGAAGGTGTCTGACGAGACACAACAACTGACTTGTGCATGGTGAGGGTGTTGTGAGAGTGATGTAGATGGTGGTGGGATGTGACCGAGAGCAATGACAAGGCAGACAAGGAGGCCAGAAATGTTCCACGACAGCCATGAAGTGGAGTGTGGTTGGCCAACTTTGAGGAATCTTTACTTGTCAGCGATGAGTCCTGAAATCGGGAGGGATGTTCTCACGGTAGAGCTTTCCAAGGCCCCCGTCTTCGCCAAACTCAGATGGCAGTATTCCCATACCATCGTCTTCCACAACACAGCTCCCCCGACCATAGTCGATGATACTTTCGACCCTTTTGGATGAGGCATCAAGGGAATTCTTCAGCAACTCGCACACTACTCCATTCAGACTGGTGATGGTGGTGGACGACTTGATTTGAGCGACGACTTCGGGCGGCAAGGGTTGGATGGACATCTTGTCGAGATATGTAGGTATATCTTGTTTCGCAACAATGCAGCTATAGGTACTGTATCAGAGATATCCAGTTGGGTGGCGCCTTCCCACTTGAAAGCAAGAAGCCATCGTTTTTGATGCCGGCTTGCTGTCGTCACCAAGATCTCAGAATTGCCTCATCTCAGCATGGAAAGGCTTCATGGAGACATAATGGGCGGTCTTCCATGCTTTGGTGTTTCATGAGATGTTAGATAATCCGCCGTGTGAAGCTTGAATTCCCGAGACGAGGTGAAAAGAGCGAGTCACGTGCATCTCGCGCTACTCGCAAGGGCCCCCAGAGGTTTCTGGGCCAGACGAGGCTGCCGCGTCAAACACAAATCCTCCTAAGCATCACTGCCGCACAACGAATCTCCTATCCCACCACATCCGGCCTCAGTCAATCTCCCGCACACTCGTTTGGCTGCGCTCTCTCCCACTATCGCCATCTCGGGCCCCTTCACCTCCAGTTCAATCCGTTTCCGTGCCATCCGCTCTCCCTTTGTGCGCCTAAACAATGGCTACAGCTGAGACAGCAGAGCAACCTTGTGGTACGAAAATGACCAGTCTTCGTTTGCGTTTTGTCTTCAATGCTTTTGTCAGCGATAGATTTGAAGTCAAGTCTACTTCGTCGCACAGCCTACTAGCCCTGCAAAAGTCCAACTCCCAACAACTGACCCAAATGCCAGATCGTCCAGATCGTCAAGGCCGCCGCCGTCCCTTCTCGACATGGATGAAGAAGCTCGCAAACTTCAAAGGTGGCTCGTCTACAGCCGAACCGAATTCTATATCCTCTACAAAACGAAATACATACCAAATGAAAGCGAGCGCGAAGAAGCAGAACCCCTCCAAGAATAACAATCCTTATCCCGAGTCTGGCCGGCCCGTGAATGGGAACTCTGTGGCTCCCAACGGACATCGCTCGTTCTCAACGGTACCTACTGGCACATCGATGAGCACCTCATCCGTAGAGCGCAGACAGTCAGTTCAGTCATCGGTGGACGGTTTGCCTCCACCAACAATTGGCAACAAGTCGTTGGCAGCAACCATATCAACAGAACATGACCATGCACATTCCGATGCGGCACCTTCACATGCTCCTTCGTCTGGAGAGGCAACGAATGCTACGGTTGGGTGTGGCGTTAGCTCTGGACGAGGCAATGACAGCACATTCTCCTCACCCGTGCCCTCCGTACGATCACTAACTACGACTCTTACCACAATCCAATCTGTCGCACCTGCTGTTGCTCCAACGTCTCAGAACGCGCCAACAGTGCAATTTTCCCACCAATTCCCTACCTCCCCCTTACCCAATGCTCTGCCGGCACATCTCGTCCCCCAGGGAAGTGGTGGACATCCCGCGACCTACAGTACAGCTACGGCAAACAATCTCCTGACGGATAATGCCTCGATCCTTACACTGGCGTCCTCCTCGAAGAGACGGAGACGAAGGTCCATGGACACAGATGCGTCGGTTCGGGCTCTAGCTCCCTCGTCATTGTTTGGTGGCAGTCGAGAGAGCTTACCGTTGAGTGTTTTGAGCGCGAATATTGATCCGGCCGCATCTACACCACATCAACCACGTCCTAGTGTTGGAGGTTTGAATGAACGAGCTAGCATATACTCAGCTACCGGCGTTGCACCGGCCCTACCTAGTGAACGCAATAGCTATTACGCTGGGAAGCAATCCATAGCTGCTGATGGAGGCAGTGTCAAGAGTGGGCTACTCGGACATGGCAGGAATGACAGCATCAGTGGTAGCATTGGTGGAGTTGCCGCACCTGGCAGCCCTCTGGCAAGTCCTCGAGAAGCCGTTAGCAACTCGGCGGGACGCTTGAGCCGTACTAATTCAGCATGGGGAGAATCCGGCGAAGGAGAGAAGGCTGATTGTGAACCAGAAACGGAGGAGCTTAAGGAGAGCGAGAAAGCATAAGTTTAAGGCGCTTATTGGAAGGAAGTTCTTTTCAAACGCCTTTATTTCTGTCTCTTCTTTTCGTAGGGACAGGCTAGGCGTTGAAAGTTTGACCAAGGGGAACTGCATGGATAGGTTTTTACAAGTGGAGTCGTCGCAGGATGGATGATCGGTCGAGGCATGCCAAAGATACCAGATACCAAAATACTTTAATAATGCATTGCATTTGACCTATCTCCGGCTTATGTTGGGATGTTCCTGGGTGTACTTGGGTTTTGAGATTTGAAGGAAGCAACGTAGTCGCTTACTCGCAGCCTGCGCCTCCTGAACATGAACAGCTAACATTTACAAAGCCGGGTTGCTTGCCGTCTCTTTGTGTGTCAAGAATGTACGGAGGTACAGACCATAAGTATTCACATAGCAACCGAATCGACCGGGGTCTATGAAAATTTAAACCCTCATAACTCTTTCAAATCGTGACATAAAAGCGCCTAGTAAACTCGATTATTATCTCATATATGTATGCTATTATGCTATTTTACTTTTCTGTTTTTTATAGCATTTCGTAGTTGCGTTGTAAGGGTTTGAAGTTCAGACACCTGCTAGCGCTATATGAATACTTATGGGCTGTACCTCCGTAATTAAGGCAATTAAATATTATTAGTTTAACCAATTAGATAATCAATGGTAGTTTAATTACTGTTCTTTAAATTCGCCCCCTCAACCCCCCCCCCCCCCCCAAAAGTTTCAAATAATTATAATTAATAAACTTAATTATTATATAAAAAACTTCTTATATTCTTATAAAAAATTTATTAAAAGCTTAAACTCATTCTCTTTATTTATAATTGCATTAATCTTATTTTGCTTTACTTCTTTATCTTTAGGTTTCTTCTTTTAATAACCTAAAGTATAAATAAGCATAACTTTTAAGGAATTATATTTTAAGCTTGCATTATTTCTTAAATTTTGAATTAATTATAAATAACTTAATTAAACAAATAATTAACCATAAATTACTTATTAAGATTTTAGCTTAATTAATTTAATTACCGACCAATAATTATAATTAATTAAATTATTTGAGACACTGCTAGGCCTCTCCTAAAATGTATACCTTTGTGATCGATGCAATTCATCAACGGCCCGACTCGTCCTACAAGAAACTGCGAGAGGCCTTCATTATCAACCGCAGATTTGACCGCAGATTTGACAGCGGACAGGTGATTTCGGATGGCCCCTTGGACCCCTTCATTGAATGCAGCCCATGGGACCTAACACCGGCAGGAAATTATTCAAGAATAACCGGTGAGCACAACCAAGCGGAAAGCCGGGCTGACTCGCGGCCGAACCAAACAGTGGCCAAATGTTGGGTTCGTGCAGGTCCAAGATTAGAATGACGGCCCCGAGCCCCAGTAAGTTTGATTACGCCCTGTGGAATTTTTGCGCCCCCAAGGCGGGATGATGTCGACGGATGCATTCCCTAGTCCGTTTGAAACCGCGGTATTGGGTGAAAGTGCGTGCCGAGACTGGCTGCTCCTAGGGCTGATGGCTCTGCCGCTGCTTGCCCGGCTAGAGGCTACTCACTCGAAATCGCTGACTGCATCTGACGTGAAAGTAGGAGACTTTAATTGGCGTATTGTTCGAGGCAATGCAACTTGGATTTCGAGTTTGGGGTGGAGACCGGAAAGAATGATGGTACCCATGACAAAAGATCCGCGGGTTCTTAAAAGCTTGTCCCCTCAGCATACGTTTGCAATCTTCTCGAATTCTCTCAGGTCTTACTCGTTAATACCGTCGAGATGCGTTTCATAACTGGTTTTCCAGCCTTGTTATTTTCCGTGTTGGGTTCGATCAGCATAGTTACTGCTACTACACAATATCACGATGAAAGTTTCATTCCAGACGCGGTGTTGCGTGTCACGCAGCAGAATATCACACAGTCATGCCTGGCTTCCAAAACAAATGTTCTCATCAATGGGACTTCGCCTGGTCCAGAACTCAGGCTTCTGGAGGGACAAACATACTGGATCCGAGTCTATAATGACATGACTGCCAACAACCTCACCATGGTATGTGCCCACTCAGGCTCATCTTTAGCAAGAGTTGACCGCTATTCCACAGCACTGGCATGGCCTCTCTATGGCAGTCTCCCCGTTTAGCGACGGCACCCCCGTTGCCTCCCAATGGCCCATCCCACCCGCTTGCTTCTTCGACTACGAGATCCACGTCCCAATCGGCATGGCAGGGACCTATTTCTACCACAGCCACGTTGGGTTTCAAGCCGCCTCTGCAGCAGGCCCTTTGATTGTCGACGACTTGCACGTTCCGTATCATTACGATGATGAGAAGATCATTTTCATCCAGGATACATTCACCAAGGACTTCCAGACTATCGAGAAAGGATTGGTTAATACTCCGTTGGTGTGGAGTGGTGAGGCTGCGGCAATTTTGGTTAATGGGAAGGGAGGCGGGAGTGCCAATGGGACGGCGTGTAATGCGAGTCTTTCGGTCATTGATGTTGAACCTGGGAAGACATATCGATTACGGTTTATCGGAGCAACAGCACTTACGTTTGCGTCACTTGCTATCGAGGGACATGGCTCCTTGGAAGTGATTGAAGCTGATGGGTATGTTCTCCTTAGATTTCTCACCCTAAATTTCGGAATCTAACCATAGGTAGCTCATACACACAAAAAGCCGACACTTCCTTCCTTCAAGTCGCCGCCGGACAACGCTACAGCGTCCTCCTCCACACGCTCCCAAACCCCACCCAATCAACCTACTACATCCAACTCGAGTCCCGCGACCGCCCGACCGTAACTCGCTCTTTCGCGATCCTAAACTACGGCCCGAAGTACAAAAACTCAACACCCTTCTACCCGCCCCCAAAGCCCGTTGTCTCACTCCCGAAGAGCACCGTCGGCTTCCTAGACTACAAACTATACCCCCTCCAGCCCAGCGGCGACTTCCCCTCCGCAAAAGAAGTCTCCCGCACCGTAACAATAACCGTCCACCAAGCAGTCCGCGGCATGACAATCTGGCTCGAGAACCACTACCCCTGGGTAGACACCTTCCCAACAGAACCCTACCTCGTCTCCCTCTACAAGAACGATGGCGTCGAGTTCCCATCCATGGAGCGAGCGGCCCAGAACGGCGGTTTAGATCCAATTACCAGAGCCTTCCCCGCCGAGATTGGGGAAGTGGTGGATATCGTGCTGCTTAATACGGGCGCTGATTCTGGGGGACTGGATGCCCATCCTTGGCATGCGCATGGGAGGCATTATTGGGATTTGGGAAGTGGGAATGGGACGTACGATGCGGCTACTAATGAGGCAAAATGGGCAGGGAAAGAGCCGGCGACGAGAGATACGACGATGTTGTATCGGTATGGGTTGACGACGGGTAATGGCACGGTGCAGGGGTGGAGGGCCTGGAGATTGAGGGTTACGGAGCCGGGGGTTTGGATGATTCATTGCCATATTTTGCAGCATATGATTATGTGAGATCTCCCCATTTCTTTTGTTAGCTTCGCCAATCCAAATCACGGCTCGGATGACATGTACATGGGGGATGTGCTGACATGACAACAGGGGCATGCAAACCGTCTGGGTAATGGGTAATGAGACTGAGGTGTTAGGGAAAGTACCAAGGCCCGAGGTCGAGGGGTATTTGACGTATGGAGGGGACGTGTATGGGAATGAGAGTCATTGGCCGACGGCGGTGCATTATTTTGATACTTGGGCCGAGAATCAATGAGTACTTTAGGTGAAGAGAGCGGAATTTCCTGACTAGTAGAGAACTAAAGAAGGGATTGGGGTAGGAGGGATTTTGGACCATTGTTAATAATTTATTCAATAATAAGTCTGCTATTCTGCGAGCTTGCGTTTGATAATTGCGAAGGCTGCGCGGCATAGAACGCAAGTGCTCCTCTTTGGGATCTAGCAAGTGTGCGGAAAACTCCTTAGCCTGACCTTTAAGGATTTCAAACCTCTGTTTTCCTATGCAACAGTTACGAGTCGGCTGCTTGAATCTTCAAGTGGGGAGACACTCGAGCGTTGATCACGATCCAAGATTATAACAGATCGATGCAGAGATGCACAACTAATGAAAACCCATAATAACAATCGTACCGGGCATAGAAGTACTTGCACTACGAATTGTCCAACAAAGGGGTTGTGAGTAAGACGTGGATAATCTGAACGTGGATTGAGGGATCTGACAGATGTCGCAAGCAGATACCCTGGAAGGGTGGAGGCTGAGACTGTGCAGGGACGAGCCCGTTGACTTACTCCCTCACTATCAAACTAGGAGCTTGCAGCATACGAAATGAAGAAACGCGCGTTTATAAATCGGCCTTCGGAACAGCTTGGAGCATAATCGCACATGGTGTTGGGAGAATTGAGGAGAATTCTGGAGCAACTTCGAAGTACTGCCCTGATTCCCCCAAGTTTGGACAACTTCTTCCCCACATCATCAAGACGGATCTTTCCTCGACTGCCGAGCTTCAAAAGACACGCCAAAATTACCAAATCTTCAACCGCAGATGTTGAAATTGGGCAAGGTTTGATCTAAGGAAGTATCCTCCCTGTTGTAAGCTACGGAGCAAGTCTCGATCCCTTTGCGGAGCTAAATCCTGTCAGTTGTCTCAACCTGCAGTGTGGGTTGATCCGAGATAAGAGATAAGAGGCAATACTGACCGCTTTCCACTACTGCGAATATCACACCACACTGCCCTCATTTCTCTCTTCAACATGTCGGACTGCATCTTCTTAATGCCTGCACTAAAATGGCTTTAGAGTCAGGTTTGGAAACGAAGCATTTCACGGATAGTGGATCACCGTGGATGCTATATAGTGTACTGCACTTACTTTTCCGAGGGCTAGATGATTATGGTACATATGGATATTATTATTGCGTCCTTGGAACGACATCTGATAGTGCTGTGCTGCTGGCTCTTTCTTGCCCGAAGGTCTATAATGGCGGGCAAGTTTCAAGGTTTTGGTCGCTGCATCATCAGCAGCACTCTGGCAGGCCCTCGAAAATTTCCAATCCTTCATCGAAGCTTCTTTCCCTCGCTTGGCTCCACCTCGCCCGCAGCCAGAGGTTTCTTTCCAGATACGGATATATATCGGACCGCATCTCTGTAAACATATCCTTCATAACCAGCCACTGTGTTTATGAAATAAGACTTGAGTCCCAGAAACGCAATAATGTGGTATGGGATAAAAGCTAGGATGTAGAAAAATCTCAACATTGGAAGAACATTTTCTGACAGATCCTTAACCTCGACATCTTCGAACCCAACTTCCTCGAGAATGCCTTTTAGCACACCTTGCTGAAAAAGATCATACGCCGGCATCGCGGCATGCTTGTTAATGGTCGTCCACGAATCGCCGACCTCTTCAGGTTGAGTGTTAAAGTCGACGTGGTCATACTCGCACATGGCGATACTACCTCCAGGTCGAATGACACGGAAGAATTCTGCAGCCGCGATTTCGGGTTCGGTTGCATGGACGAAAGTTTCCATTGTGTATGCGCCATCGAAGCTATCATCCGCGAAAGCGTCGAGATGATGGTAGTCGCTGTTCGTGACCGTGATTTTCCCTTCCAGTCCCCGCGTCTCGACATTTCGTCGTGCCTTAATAATGTGATGGTCCATGACATCTATTCCATGGACATGGTAGCCTGCCGTAGCCAGGTGGATGGCAACATATCCGGCGCCGCATCCCGCGTCCAGCACCTTCGACCCCTTCTCTAGATCCAGTGTACCGATGAGATTGTCCTCCATAGCCCTGAGAGCTTTGCCAATAGGGAATGGCCAGTATGTGCCACGAGTATAGAATCCGAAGTGTCGTGTTCCCCCCAACACGAATCTGTACCCGATTCTGGATTCGAGCGAGGCATAGTAGTCTTGGAGGGATTGGTTCTTGTTGATGAGAGATTCCTTTGCATCGGAAAACATGACGGCGTGAGAGTGCTTCGGATGCGGCGCACGCGATTCGCCGTGAGGAGCTCGCACAGCACAGAGATGTTCGTCGGAGATGGCTGTTGCAATCGATGACAGCAGAGAGCAGAAACGGACCAGCCAACTTGAAGTTGTAGCCAGTCGAAGCGTTGCATCCCCGCCCACATCGATGCCTATTGCTTTGCCGTTGTCTTGCGTTGTTGCTTTCGTGGGGAAAATGAAAACCGAGGCCCCCCCCCGGAGTGTCGATTGGGGGTATCGATCGATTTTAGAGTTTTAATATTGCCTAATTAGTTGCTTGAGCTTACTTAAGCCTTTCCCTCAAATCAGATTCCTAAACATAGGTATGAGGAAGCTTATCTATAGGAGTGCCAGTTCTGGGGTATAGGGTAGGCGTGGCAATTGCGCACGCGGTAAATAAGTTCTAGGTACTTAATCGCTAAATTTTCAGGCTCCCATAAGGCCTTAGAAATTATGACTTTTCTTATCTTCTTTTTTTCCCCTTCAAATATTACTAATTATTATATAATAAAACCTTTATATTCTACTAGCTTGTAATTGGGCCTTCTATTATATAAAAAGAGAATTAAGTTATAATAACTATTTATATAGTAAATTAAAATTAAAGAAAAGCTCGATTTTTTTGGTGTTCCTCTACTTTAGGTTAGTCTGGCCCCGAATCGACACCCCCAATCGACACCCGGGGAAGGGGGGTTCGTTTTACATTTTCCCTCCTCTACGGAGAAGTTACACTCTCTTTCGTGAAGCGGCTGGGGTACACTAGCGGCTGTGCCAAATTACGTGCACACTATTTGAAAGGTTCACCAGGTTTGCAGCGAAACGCCCACACCACTTAACCGCTCAAAACCATATTTGATTACCATAACACCACAATTTCAAGAAACTAATGTTACATTCGCGCTTTCAAGAGTATTCTTCACAATCTGCAAGCTTTTAAGAATTTTCTAAGCACTTTGAAAAAAATCAAAATGTTGGTAGTCTACAGGGGGTACAAGTGGGCGGTTCAGTGGGTTGGGCGATTGGCTGGTGAACCCTTCAAAAATTGTGCACGTGATTTGGCCCAGTCGCTAGAAGGGCTCACTAGTGGTAACGAGTAACTAGTGGAAGGTACGAACGGATACTCTAACCACATGAATCACTCGCATAACGCCTTTTCCATATGGTATTCCTCGAGTGGTAAAGCTCGCAAATTTTCCCAGCTGTCCATTGGGCGGGGAAGCTTTCTATGCGCCCGTCACCGAATACCCCCGTGCATGTGCAAAGCAACTATTCCAAGATAAGAAAGAGGGGTGTACAGGTGTCAGCGTTTGTGTAACCACCCCGCAGTGCTGTTAACAAAAACTGCCAACAAACTCTCTTTGTTCTTCTTCGACTCAACTTACTGTCTTCGAACGTGGAGAAACTTCTATTTGGCTACCAGTGCAATTATGGGGGAAAAGTCTACAGAACCGCCGACTGTCCCTGAACGGTCTGCTCCAGCCATAGCTGCGGACCCTGCACCGTTTGTGAACCGTGCTACGATTGAGGAACCTGCGCTTGCAGCGGATGCAGAGGCAGCACCAACTGTTGCAGTTGACCCAACGGTACGGACCCGTGAAGACGACTTTGCTTCAATATTCACTGACACATAAGACTGGTGACGGCGATTCGGCATACAATAGTGATGAAATGTCCCTCTTCCCCCTCTCTCATTATCAACATTGCTAATGTTACAAGGTCTCGATATACAGCTTCGCTCTCCACTAGTGTCAGAGCGTATAAGTTTGAACATGGTCGTCGGTACCATGCTTATCATTCCGAGGGCACTGATGGTATTTCCTGCTCCTGTTGTTAAATTCGGAAAGTATGTGTTGATTGATTGAAGCATACCTCTTCCCCAACGATGACCCCGAACAAGATCGTCTCGATATGTTCCACCATATTCTGCTGATGGGGTGTGAATCAAAACTGTTCTTAGCACCGATCAATCCGGAAGGGATGCGCATTCTCGATATTGGGTGTGGAACGGGCATTTGGGCGATTCAAATGGGTCTGTATCTTCCTTCGCCATGAAGTTTTCACGAGTGCTAACTTTTTGGAAGCGGATGAATATCCTTCCGCTGAAGTAGCAATTTCCCACTATGTCAGAAGCTTTGACTAATTGAAGCAGATCATTGGAAACGATCTCAGCCCCATTCAACCTAGCTGGTAAATCAATCAGAATCGAAGCTCTTCTCTCACACAGCTAATGGGAGCTTCATAGGGTCCCCCCAAACGTCCGCTTCCTCGTCGACGACGTCGAGGAGCCCTGGGGAGATCCTCTACCCTACGATTTCATCCAGTGCCGGTATATGGCGGGCTCGATTAAAAACTGGCCCGGACTCGTCCAGCGAATTTTCGACCACCTTAAACCCGGCGGATGGGCAGAATTTTCGGATTACGACATAAACTTGAAGTCGCAGGACAATACCATACCCAAGGATTACAAGCCCCAGGAAATGCTCAACTTTTTAAATGTTGCGTGCGTGAAGATTGGTAGGCCGTTGGGTATGGGACCGAAGTTGAAGGGGATGGTTGAGGAGACAGGGTTCACTAATGTGGGGCATGAAATTATACCATTGCCGTTGGGGATTTGGCCCAAAGATCAGAAGTTGGTAAGTCTCCGATCCTTCCTTTACCTATTTTCTTTGGTGGTGAGCCCTGGACTGGGGGTCTCAAACTTTTTGGAAGATGCTAATATTTGGAGAATGCAGAAGGCAATGGGTGCCTTCATGACGCTGCAGTATACGGAAGGTGTGGATGGCTTCACAAAGCTTCCTTACACCCAAATTCTGGGGTGGAGCAGTGAGGAGGTGGATGTGTTCAATGCGAAAGTTAGGGCGCATGTTAAGGATAGGACTATCCATGTGATGCACGAATAGTAAGAGCCCCTCATCTTCTTCGCCTTTGATTTTTGGTGGTTTGGAGTCTGGATGTTTGGGGTAATGAAATATGGCTGACTTTTGCAGTCATTTTGTGTGGGCCCAAAAGCCAGAGACTCCTGCGTAAGAGGAGGGTGAGTTACTTCATTGGGGCAGAAATCTTTGGCGAAATGGAGATGCCTGATAGACCCCAATTCTAAGGTATGAATGTCTAGATGATGAAACCGTTTTCAACTTAAGACAGATTATATCCTATTGTAGTGGGGCAGGAATGAAAATCTTTCCCCAAGAATAAAGAAGCAACTGCTTCTAGGAATTCAACAAGACTATTAGTTGTTGACATAATTCCAACGGAGAGGTAAAGTGTTCGATGCAGAGTAAACAAACCCGAGTGAGACATTCAGGAGAAGCATATCAGTTGAAAACAAAGAGTAAGTTGGCAACGAATTGAAAACCCCCAGAAAGTGGCAATGTGTAATTTCGTGGCGTCTCCGGGATTGTTATGCTCTGTGTCTAAATTGAGGGAGAATGAAAAGGTTTGGCACGCAGTTGAAGACGGCAGTTCCAAACCCCTGCACGCCATCCATTCCGCATAGAAACCCTCCTACTTTGCATCCTTTAGAATCCGAGCCTAACTAAATCTAGAAATACAGCTTCCATTCTCCATGCGCTATGTAAAACTACTCATACTCTACATCTGACATAAATCTATTACTCCTCCTTCCCGAGGTCTTTCTCTTCACCCCCCATCATTCTGCCTTCTCAAGCCCTCAAGTCCCCCTTCCTTGCCCTTCCTTGTCCTTCCCATCCACCACCTCTCTTCTACAGTGCTTGGTTCGCCCCAGTATTCACACTCTCCGCATTTCGACCCACAACCCCCTCCTCCTCCTCTTTTCCCCGATCCCCGTGTTCTTTCTCCTTTCCCCCATTATCCTCCGTTGGAGCAAATTTACTTCTTCTCCTAATCGGCTCACCATACCGATAGAACACAAACGGGATCGGAGCAAGCAAACACGCGACGCCCGCAATCAGACTCCCACCACCTCCAACCCCGAGCGCGTCAAACATATACTGGGTAAAGAGCGGAGCCGCGGCTGCGCAGGCCGATCTGCAAACAGTATTCGCGGCGAGCGCGGAGGCGGCATACATGAGGTAGGTATCGGTAAGGTAGTTCAGGAATGCGACGAAAACTAGTAGGATGGAGGTTGAGAGGAAGACGCCGGCGAGGGTGGGGACAATCCAGTGGATGCTGTTGTATTGGCCAGTCCAGGCGAACCAGAAAATTGTTACCTGTTTCAAATTAGCCAACCCTTCTCCACGTCCGCTCTGGGTATAAACTGACTGGAAACAGCACACCCCCAATCATCGCCACAGGCAGGCGATCCTCCGCTCTCCCTCGATACCCAGCTTCGAACCTCTTCCTATCCCTCGACGAGTTCCAGAATATAAGAGCGCCTCCCAGAACGGCTCCAATGACAGCACCGATTAAAGGTAGTTGACCGACACCAGAGTTCCACCCCCTCTTCTGCTGAAAAACAATCGGATAAATAGTGAACAACATATAAAGCAACATATAAACAACACTCAAATACACCGCCGTGGCAAAAGAAATAGGATCCACGAGAATCTTCCACGGCCTCGTCAACGCCACCTTATACAACCCCGCGAGCGTTCGATCCGTTTCCTCAACCGGTGCCTTCACATGCTCAAACCCCTCAAGTTTCTCTCCCCGAATCCGTCTTGCTTTATTCAGCAGGACAACCGACGGTAGCGTTTCCGGGATCGTGAACATCAAAAGCTCAGTGACGCCCGCGAACCACAACAAAACGTAGAAGTTCCACCTCCAGTCTTCTTTCAGCTCTAAGAAGCCTGCGACGACGGGACCGAGTGACGGACCAACGAACGTCATCACGCTGAATAGCGCCAAGGCATTTCCTCTCTCGACTGGCCCCCAGATATCTGCCAGTACGCCTGGCGAGTTGGACATCGGACTCGAGGCAAAAGTCCCTGTGAGGAACCTCCCTACCAACAACGAAGCGAAGTTCGGCGCAAAAGCGCACAGAAAGTTGAAGACCAGATACAAGGTGAAGGAGATGTAGAAAACCCATCGTCGGCCATAGAATTCGGAGAGTGGTGCCCAGAAGAAAGGACCGAAGCAGTAGCCTAGGAGGAAGAGCGTTACCAGGAGACCGGTCGCTTCGACGGAGACGGAGAAGTGGGTGGCGATGCTGTTGAGGGCCCCACTGGGAGAGGAGGAGGCGAACGTTGCATTCATGACGAGGAGGATGGAGATTACGGTTATGTACCATCTGCGTCGTGCGGACCAGTTTTTGGGATTCTCGATGTCGTCTGGTGAGAAATCGACCTGGCCTTGAGCATTGAGGTAGGGAGTTGTGGTTGAGAGGGACTTGGAGCGGTAGGGTTTTGCGGTTGGGCGCGAGAGGAAGCGTTCGAGTTTGTCCATGTTGTCGAAGGTGTCGACAAGGGACAATGCTCAAAAGAAAAGATGTATGTACAGTACAATTAAACGGTAAAGAACGAAATGAAGGGGAGTTAAAGGACGAAGGGAAGAAAACGTGAGATTGATTAGAAGAGCCAGTGAGATAATGAGCGGCCGCGAATGAGAAATCAGTCTAACTGAAAGGGGCCAATAGTAACGTTAGAAAAAGACGGTGCCCCGGATTTCAATCGAATGAGAAGATTATTGGAGAGGATCTGCAGCTAAGAACACTTTATAATCTGCAAGTGAAAAGGCGCCATTCGGCTCCATGCAGTGACGGGTATTCGGCATCTTGCCAACTCAGTGAAAAAGAAAGCTTGGACTCGAAATTTGGAATAGGAAAAAATCGAGAGCAATCGACTTTGAGATAGAAGTGCTGAATAGCATGGTGGTCATTTTATCTTTCTCTAATCAACCTCTTCACAAGATGAGCTGGCACAATATCTTTGTTGGTCCCATTCCTCTTCCCGCCTTGGCCCCAGAACAGCAGAATATCTCCCAGCAATGTCCATGCAAATGAGTATTCTATGATAGCGAGCCCCATCTTTCTTCTCTCGGAGAGCCCACTTGCTTGCAACTTCACAGATTCCCTCACCCCTTCTCGCCCGTGCGTGGACGTTAGCAAGGTTACTAAGCAAGATATCTACAGCGGATGGACGTCCAAATCGCATTGCGAGGTGTAGAGCTGTCTCCCCCTTGTTATTGCGACGATGGACATTTGCACCTGCTTTAATGAGATTTCTCAAGACATCAGAAGTGATTTGTCGTTCAGGTTCGGGTGATAGATCGTTGCGGATGAACGCCATCAATGGAGTGTTTCCATTCGCATCATAGTCATCTGGGCTTACTCCTGCATTAAGTAACTTGTCGACTTGATCAATGATATAGTCATGGCGGAGCCTCAATTGTTCTTGACGTTTGCGTTTGCCAGGAGCGCCTGGATTTTCCGTGCCAATTTTTAGACTGCTACAAGATTCTGCCAGACAGTGAAGGGCATTGCGGCCACGATACTCGAGCTCTGGGAATCCAGAAAGAGCTCTGGTGATTGTTTCCCTCATTTTCTGGTATCGTGTTGGTCTCCCATTCTGGGGATAGTCCTGGAGAACTGATGTTGGAGGGAGAGTACTTTTCTCGTAATAGATTTGGTGCCTTGGAGTAGTGAACTCTCCATCGCACACAATCTGGATCTGTTGGAGCAAAGCATTGATAACATTCGCTCGATGCTGATCTGGGAAGCCATTGTGGTCCACGAGTGCTTGGACTTTGATGCGCTCTTCGACCGTTCGACCCTGGAAATCCCTTCTAAGTAACGTTGGCCCAGACGGCAGACAGTGGTGGAAGAGGAGCTTTATGAGGTGTATGTTTAGCCAGTGCTGGGTCAAGGCGTGCATAGGAGTTTGGCCGAAGTCGTCCTGCAGGTTGTAATCGAAATCCATGGCCCGCAAATGATGAAAAAGCCTCCGAACCCCATCATCCCCGACACGTTCAGCAGAGTGATTGTAATGCGCTGCCAGAGATGCTGGGTTCAAAACATGCATGAAAGTTTGCCCAGCGCCATTTCGAGCATGCACATCAACTTTCAGACTGAGGAGCCAACTCAAAATCATGCAGCCGGCACCTAGAGATGCAGCCAGGTGAAGGACGGTGTCACCGAAACCATCAACTTCATGGAAATCGAAAGAAACCGGCTTTCCCGCATAGATGTATATAACATCTTCACCCTCACGCGACTTCCTAATAATGTCCCTGACAAATCTATGAGATTTGGGAAGTTCATCCAAGCAGTAATCGCATTTGACCACTCTGGGATCTCCACGACACCGGTGCAAACAGCACAATGGTAGTTTCTTTTCACGAATGGAAGGGTCCAGAACGCATCCATCGACATGAGGGAACCCTTGTACCAGCCCATATGGAATGTGTCCCTCGTTCGTATTGTCACTTTTCACAAGAGGCACATTTGGGGGGTTGTCCCTTGTTTGTGTTGCCTGTCTTGATCTCCTGGTCCGCCGGCGAATTGTACGCGCAGTGGCTGATGAGAAGTCCGATGCCAAGGAAGTGCGCTTTGAAGCTGAAGAGCAAGTCTCGGAGCTATGGCTGGGCACTGAGGCCAATGAGAGCCTCTCTTTCGTGTAAATCGCCTTGTTCAGAAACCCAATGGAGTACCGCCGGGGGCATTGCGCTTCGCTCAGATTCTTTTGAAGATTCTGCACTTTAGCCAAGCTTGTCGGGTCTTGTGTGAAGTTCTCGAAGTCGCGGCGAAATTGGAATGACGCCATGTTTGCGGTGCTTAATTTCCCGGCAGAAAGTTCGTTTTCCATCTCGTATGCCATATTGAGCTTCTCCATATCGGTAGCTGACATATCCAAGGGAGCGGACTGCTTGTGTCGATTTCCCTCTCTCCGATGCTGCAAGTACTTCTTCACCCTATATGCTTGTTCCATCCTTTTGTCCACCCCCTTCGCATCCTCCTTTGCATCCGGTCGTAGCTCGTTCGGTCGAGGGCCGAGATTCGAGGCGGCTTTTTCTTGGGCGATTCGCTTTCTGAAAGTAGCCATTAGCCTTCCTTCACGAGGATCATACAGAGTACTTACCTGAAGTCAAATCCATCATCCTTCAAGAAAAGAGGCAAATCGTCAGTATGAATGTTGCAAACTGAATACATACGGGCATATTGGCGGTCTCTCGTCTCATTCCATTGCACACCTGGAGGCCCCCTTCGCTGGCCCCTCCCGTTAGTTGCACTTTCCACAAAGGCGTCGCCCCGGCCCATCGATACTAGAGCCTCAGAGGATGAGCCGCGTTGGGTAAGTGCCATAGATGCCATAGAATCCATGTGTAAAGCTCTCCTCATTCCGGACAGGTTGGTAATATCAGAGCTATGGCCAGTCGGTGTGAGATTGTGACTTCGAAAAGCTTGATTATATTAAGGGTTGGATGGGGGAAGTTGAGAGAGTAGTAGGGTGAGTTGCTCCTACAAGCTTCGTGTCGAAACGAGGGGTCGGCCGGGAAAGTCTACCTCTGTTCTATCTGTTGAAGTAATGAAATAGAAGCATTACTGTAAGAAAAAAAATTCAGACTCGCATGGAGCCTTAAGAACGAAAGCCCACAAGAATTCTTACGCCACATTACTTCGAACGATAGAGCAACGGAAATGATCCAATGAAGGGCGCAAGCCCGCCGTCAGGGTAAATATTGCGCGATATCCAAATGGGGGCACACTGTCTCTCCGCCAGTTACCGAGTCACCAATGCCATCGTCAATCTTGATCCTTTTAAGGATGATCTGACCTGGTGAGCCAGGTTCCCCTTGCAACCACCATGAGTGCGGGAACTTACAGCCGCAGGTGTTGTTATTCATTAGTGCTGGTAGCGGGAAAATGTAAAACGACACCCCAGGGTGTCGATTGGGGGCCTCCAATCCAAAGTAGAGGTGCTCGGATGGGAGCACCAAAAATCTAGCCTTCTCTTTAAATTTAAATTACTTTATAAGAAATTAATAAAATTTACTCCATTCTTTAGGTTCTTATAGCGCTAAGTAATGGCTATTTAAATATAAATTTTCATAAATTAGTAATAGTTATTAAATTAAGGATATTAAAAAATAAATATTTTATAGCCTAAAGCTAAGCTTAAGAAAGCCTAGAAATTTGGCAAACAAAGTCCTTAAAACTAGATATGAGAGCCCTATAAGCCCTTGGTTTATATGGCTTTATAAAGCTTTAAAACTAGAACTTAATTAATTAGTATATAAACTCCTTTAAATTAAAATTCTATTTTAAGGAATCCTTTTATTATAAGTTAAGAAGCACTTGATCATTATAAGCCTTATAATATACTAGCTTATACTTATATTAAAAACTTAACTTAAGGTCTCTAAATATCCTGGTAGCTGGCTGCGCCCGACAGCAGCTGCAGCAGCGCGCCTCCAACGGGGTCCGGCTCAAATGGAAAGGATCCACGCGACTTCCCAACACTGCGGTTGTGAGGCTGTGACCCGATGTGGGGGTTTTATCATTTGAACTTTGGATATCGAAGGCAGAACCCCTCCCTGCTTGCAGTCTTTCGGCTCCACCTCAGACGAGAGGAGGGTAAACGACCGAAGCTGTGCAATCATACCGGGCCCGGGCGAGAGATGCCACAGACTGCTCCGAGCTCCTAGGCTGACCGGACTTCCGGAATGCACCGGCCGGCCAGCAGGAAAAGACGATACACTCGAGGATTACAGTACAGAGAGTAAGAAACTCGACAAATGGCGAACGTTCCGCCGCTTTCTGAAGGTTGCCGATTTGAAGAAATATAAAACAGTGAAGAAAATGCGCCGCCTATCAGGCGTCTTGGGGTGTATCAGTGTTTCAAGAGCCGAGGAGACGGGAGGGAGCATCAACCTTCCTCATTGGGGGTTTGGGGGCAGTCAAAACACGCCCGCTTGCTCTTGCTAATCGTGCGTCGGGACTTGCACCGGAGCCCCTACGTCCCTGCGGGTTCGGTGCGTATCAGCGATATGGTCAAAAATCAGCGATACGGTCACTTTTTTTTTCCCTAACAAAAAAAATCTAGGATTTTTAATAACTTCACAACGTAACACAAGATCTTAAGAGAAAAAGTTTGTATGGAGGTACGCCCGATAATTGCGCAAGTTTTGGCTTCTTTCAATTTTTCAATTTTTCAATTTCGTGGATTTGTGGAAGTTATTACAAAAATGACCGTATCGCGTATCCGCGATGCGCACTTAACCCGCAGGGACGTGGGGCTTTAGTGTAAGTCTTGACGCACGATTATGGGGAGAAGTGTTGAAGCACAGCCGTTTCTTGTCTTCGGTGGAACTTACCGCGTACGTGCGGCCCGTCAGCCGATAGGGTGTGTCTGAACTTTCGGCAGAAATATTGGACAGTTTCTTCGGCTTTCATACTACCTCCTTGAATACATTAATCTCACTCGCGACCTACCATGGAGTACATACCAGACAGAATTGGGACCTTCAATCTCACAGGAGTGTTGCAGCAGCAGAATATTGGCCAAATGATCGTAAACGACTACCACTGCCTGCCATTCCGGCCCCCTCCAATTTACATTGTCAAGATAAGACTTGGCGGGAAAAGCCTGAAATGGTTGAGGCTGAGAGGTCCGTAAATACGGTTGCATGGATGCCCCTTGGATGTCAAGTGCAAAAACAAGTTCAGCGCCGGCCCGAGAGACCAGGCCTCGGGTCAAGTTAAGCTTATCTCGGCGATCAGTGAGATCATGAGTCAGTGCTCCGACGGAGTTCTTAAACAGTGATCAAGAGCTATTATTAAGAGAAGTGTGAAGCCAAATGCAATGTGAATCACATAAAACCAAGCAGTGAAGCCGAAAAAACCCTGCTGAGAGCCGAGGAGTGGTAATAGGGGGAGCGGCACGTGACGCCGCGCTCGTATAATCTGATCCTCCCCCGCATTTCTATGATTAACCGTCCACCTTGGAGTTTTTACATTTCCCCATTCAGTAGCTTAGTCAGTCCTAGTTTTCTAAGACATCGGGTCCCAACCCCTGTAATCGTGCACTCTGCTACTCACTGTGCATTCTGGCTCAATTGATAACTGAGCACTCTGACTTCAATGGCGGTGCAATCGGTTGTCAATTTTTCACCAACTGTAAATCGTGCACTTTGCTATCAATGTTTCACTTCTCTCCCATTTGCGCCGTTGAATCTCGATGAGTTCGGCCGCAAGGTTTTTAGCATGGAGTATAAATCCCGGATCGATTCCCGTTGCTGTTCTGTGTCTCGATATACTCCCAAATTATAGAATATCAGAATATCACAATTCAAACTTCAAAAAACATCTTCACACATACTCAAATATTTTCTCTACCCTTGTAATTGCCCCTCTCTCTCCTTCGGTCAGTTACAAATACGAATTTTACGGAAAACTCTGGTGTTCTTTATACCCGAAAAGAAAAACGAGTAAGAGGGGATATGAAGCCTCATTCCCAGCCTCAGCCTCAGCCTCAGCCTCAACCCCGACCTCGACCCAACCCCGGGGACCCAGGTAAACTCTGTGCCAAGACATCGGCTATCATTGCTCACGTTGACAGGTTATGGCCAGTAGCTTGACTTCGTGTCAGATATATCCAATGACTGTGAAGGATTGTAAGCTGTGTTCATTGACCTTTCGTTCAAAATCGCTCACTGCTTTAAAGGTGAGGCGGGCATACAAATATGGAGAAGGAGGGGAGGGGAGACTATCGAGTTTGTTTCGTGTTAGAGATTCAAGAGGTGTTTTCTATTTCTTGAGAAGGTTGTGGAGTTAAGGAGGGAAATGTTAATGCTTTGGACGGTCGCGAGAGTCATTTCAAACTCGGAGCCGGAGTTTTATGCACTACGTGGAGTTGTTGCTTTGTATTCTGGATATTATGGGAGTGAGAGACACCGGGTGCTTGTAGAATATTATCTTGTAATCGAACCCTTAAGGTCAAATGGCTGCCACACTAGCACGTAAACTGCCCACCACAGTAAATGCCAGGATAGGAGAGATGATGTATGATATCTAGACCATCAGCCTGAAACCCCGGGAAACTTCAAACAAGCAAGGAAGACTCACTGTCAGTAATTTTGCAATCTTGTCTTCGTCTTCTTCGTCGGCGTTGCTGACCTCGACCATCGTGATCAGCTTCATTGCGGGAGGGCCTCTAAAGAATCAGAGAATTAGCCTATGCCATTTCACCTGAGGACTCAAGCGGATCCTTACGTTGGCATCAACATCATCGCAAACCACAACATCGGATCTTCTCCAAGAGCATCTGTCTTCTTCGCCAGTATATAAACAACCCCAATCGAGACGACCGACCAAAACACAAATCTGACCGCCAGCACAAACAAAGTCGTCAACCATGGCGTTCCAGTTCTGGAGTTCGAGTCCTCGTTCAATTTTTGGGTCGACATGTATAGTGAGACACCCGCAACTACGACAGGGAGGGGGACGAACAATGAGCCGATAGTCTTGAATGATTCCGTCAACCACGCAGTAAAGATCCCGCCATCCTCCGTGTCGCTGAAGAAAGCAACATGCAGGGTGGGGACAAGACCGATGATCGCACCTAGCACAGCTCCCAGCAATGGCGCATTGAGAAAGTCAAACAAGAAAAGCAACCACCACTTCGTCCGATCTCCCAACTTCACCCACTTCTTCCTCGCAATAACCGACGGCCTCCGGTCATATGCAATAGCCGGTGCGATCGACTGTCTCCTCGAAGGATAAAATGACATCGAAGCAACGGACGCTTGTCTCTGCCTCGGAAACAGCAAGCCGGTGTGCTCAGTCGTCGGACTCATCTCATCATCCGCATCGCCCCCATTCTCCTCATCCCTTCCCCCCTCATCGTCATCCTCAATCTCCTCCTTATCGCTTGGAGGATCGGGACCATGCTCCGAGTCAATCAATCTTGGTCCTACTGCGAACGTAAGACAGCTCGACACTGTTGCAAAAACGAGGAAATACGACTTCGCCCGCTCAATCGCAGCCCTGGTCGTCTCCCCCTCCTCCATGATCAAACTCCCCAAAATGCCCGTCTGATCCAGACTCTGAATCAATAACAGTGGATAACTCGTCGTGTTGTTAAACATAATAGCCGCCGTGATCCAATCCGGCATCCCTAAAAAGTAATGCGCCGCGATCCCGATGAAGAATGAGACGAGATGGCAGATAATGGCCCAGGCGAGGATGATGAGATAACGGTGCGCGGAGCCGGAATGTAGTTCTGAGCCGATTTGGGTGAGCAGGAGGGCGGGCAGGAACATCCGCACGCAGATCTTGGAGATGGATTTTGAGGCGCTGGGGTCCAGGAGCTTGAGGTGGGCGGCGATGGCGCCGTAGGATATTACGAGGAGGACGGAGAGGGAGGCTTGGATTGCAGCGACGAAGGAGGGGATCAGCCCTGCTTGGGCTGAGGGGGCCATGGCTGCGATTAGCCTGAGATGAGGATGAAAGTGATGATTGTTGTGTTGATGTTGATGAGGTGAGGTTTAGATTGAGATTGAGATTGAGGTTGTGGTTGCCGATCACAAGCGATAAAATGACGCCTCAATTGCGAAAACCAATTGACAAATCGCGTCATTTGAAGAGGGGGAGGTTTGCTTTTTATCATGAAACAACTCGAATCCTGCTTGAGTCCCTATCCGTGATTACGAAGTGAGAAGCTAGATAGAAAGGTGCGCCCACTGATTGGTTGTTGGAAACCATGAATGCGGGGTCGGGATGGAGGCAATTCGTCATGTGACTATGTAGCAACATACAAGCTGGAAATACTTTATCAGGATCAATTAACTGACATTGCAAAGCCTCGAAAAAGCATTTCTTTGAGTATTTATGATCAAGAGTCGCAGAAGTAAGCGCGACAAGCACGTGATCCGCCCCTTAGTACTATTAAACGATCATTTCTTCGAAATAAAGAGGGTGTATAATATAATAAAGTAAATCCTATATATAGCCTTTAACTTCTTTACTTAATAATAAAATATTTTATTATAATTTAATTAAATATATTCTTGTATTTATAATTAAAACTATTGATTTTAATAATAATTTGAGTTATATAAACTTTTTAAGTAAAGAAAGAAAAAAGAGCTTTAATAATATATATTATAAAAAAATATTATATTAGAATAGTTATACTGCGAATTTCCTAGTCATGTAACTAGTTATATAAGCTCGCATATATACGTAACTCGACCGGTAGACTAGTCCTAATTAGGCTTAGTAGATTTAGGGATTGCATATTAATTGTCACGAGACCGGGTCTCTGGGCTTGGAAAGCAAGGTAGAGTGGCTCTATTCCGAGGATTCTAAACTAAGGAGGGAAGCTCGTGAGTGCGGGAGCTTTGGTGTTCTAAATACTAGCCAGCCGTATGCGTCATCGCGATCACGTGACGCTAAATTTACTAGTGAAGCGGTAGAGCGTAACATTAATACTACGATATTATAATCCTTACTTCTGAATATTAACTATTATACTAACTTTCAGTGTGTCAAAAAATAATCAAAGCTAATTAATTAGAATTAATTAGAATTGATTATATTTAAGTATGATTTGATTAGCTTGATTTTTATTATAATTAATTATAATTAACTATAATCATCACGTGATAATATAAAAGAATACTTTCTTAGGCATTTTTAAAGATTATTAAATAATTAGTAGCTATATTAATAAGATATAAATAAAATCTATAAAGCATATATAAGAGTATAAAATTAGTCTAAATCTAAAATAACAAACTAGTTTTTGTTACGTGATACTAGTCACGTGGTGCTATTGCACGTGACTTAACATGTGGCCAGTGCTTCCTTAGCCTGGCAAATAGCTCAATTCAAGCTCTTTACTACTACTATAACATTACTTTATCTTAATAGTTTTCTTCTTTAGAAATCTCTTTCTCTTTTTCCTTCTTATTTTCTTATTTTCTTATTTCTTCTTCTTTAATTACTATAAGGGTTTATTTATAGCTCTCTTTTATTAGCGGCAAGGAATTACTGGAAATCAAGGAGGTTCTAGCGCCTTTGGCTTCGCTTACTAATTGGCGCTAGGCCTGGTTCAGTAAAGAGCGCCTTTAGTAATACCGAATACGGTTAGCCCAGACCTTATTTTAGCCTTATCTCGGCTTCCGAAGCTCCAGAGTCATGTGTGTAATCACGTGATAAATCTAATTAATTATCTTTGATTATCTTTGATTATAATTAAGTATGATTTGATTAGCTTGATTTTGACTTGATTTGATTTGAGTAGGGGGGTCTAATCAAATCAAACCTAATCATTTGACACACTGCTAACTTTATACAAATAGTATTTTGTAACTATATAATAGTACTATGTATTCCTAGTAAACCGATATATTAATATAATAAAAAGAATTTAAAAAAAATATTTAAAAGTTAATATTTCGAGATTTTAATTAATTAATAAAATTAAATATATAGAATTTAAATAATTTAAATAAGAAAAGATATTTTATTTACTTCAATATAATAATAAGTCTTAAAATATAAAGCTATTATTATTTAAGTAAATAATTAATAACTTTTTCTTTATTATATTATTATAACAGCGGGATTAAGGCAATAGCTAGGGCTTAAAGATTCAAGAATCTCATATATTGAAAATACTAAGCTAAAGAGAAAAAGGAGAGAGAGAGAAGGAAAGGAAATAAAAGAAGGGAAATACTAGCTAAAACCACTGAAACTGTGAGGCACGTAATAGCAGGGTGATGCACAAGTAGTCAAGGTAAGTAAGCTGCAGAGTGACGCTTGCAAGTGTAACTGATTCCAAGAATTGATTCCAACAAAAGACTAATTGATGCCCCTTTCCAAAGCTAGGAGCGTCTCCCTATATATTCCCTAGTGCTTAGCCAAGCCTGCGAAGCACTTTACTTAACTAGGAAACACGATCCCATGCGATCCGTACGATTCCGATCGCCCGTACGATTCCGATCGCAAGCTTTACCCAAAATAGGAAACTAGATCCACGACATCTGACACCTGTCCATGCGCCATCACGTGTGCCCATCACAGAAACGCCGGCTAGCTAGGTGAAAGCAGTTATATAACGGCCACTCCTATATGGCCTCTAGCTAGTACTATTATAATTATAACTTAGTTATTTGTTTTATTTCTTTTTTATTAATATAATATATTAAAGATGTCACAGTTCTGGTTTCCACGTTCTGGTCACCTGATACAGTCACCTGACAGCTAGTATGGGAATGCGCATGGAGATATTTAGGACGCTAGTCCCCTTAGGGGCTAGCGCATTGTGGGTGCACTTAAGCCCACAGCCTCCTGTATTCTAGCTTTCCCTTCCTTAGCTTTGAATCGTCTTCGTAAGGGACCTTCTACCTTGCTTTCCAAGCCCTGAATGCCGTACCCGTAATAAAAGATAAGGTTTTCAAGAATATTAAATATAAGTAATTATTAATAATAATTAATAAAGAAAATAAATTAATAAAAGAAATTATTATATAATATTAAATATATAAAGAATATATTTTATTTAATTAAAATAAAGTTATATTAGAAGAATAAAAGAAAACTAAAAATAATAAATAATAGCTTTTTAATATATAAATTAATATATAATATATTAATCTAATAAATCTAATTTTGTATATTAAAATAATAATATAAGTTATAAATTAATTCTTTTGAGATATACTTGAATATAGATCTTAGTTAGACTTACTGCTTGCCTCGGTCCTTTATCCTAATCCCAAATTTCACACTTTCCAACATTCACATCACCAAGAAAATATCCTGTTTTTTTCAACTAGCCATAGCCATCTTGAAAATATGGATCACGGCTATAGTGAGAATAGCGGTGATGCAGCTCCCGCTCTGTAAAGGACCAGTAGGGCTCATTAAAAATGGAGCATGCCCAGTGCCTTGACGAATACTGATGTTCGAGCAGCAGCAGAGGAAAAGTACCAGGACACGCAAGATAAGCATTTCCAATTCGTAGGTTCTTTGACGCTGGTTGCACTGCGAAACATGAGATTCAGATCTAGTTTATCTTTAAAATGTCGCGTTAATATTATGACTAAGACCATTATCAATATGCCTAGCAATGCGATCTAGTAGTTCAGCTTGCTTTCCCTCCAATACGCTCCCAACCGCGTTAGAACTACACACATCAGACATTTGCATTGGCAGAAGATCTAGGTTCTCTTCTATGCAATTGCGATTCTCCATAACCGCTCCATGAGTCGCTTCGCTCAGCAGCCATGCTATGAACCGAGCACCGCGGTACCTGTTGCCCATGCTGTAGAGGAACTGTATGTTAGTCTCAACCTGAGATGAGCTTGGCTCAAGACATTTGACGACAATATCTAGAGCAGCAGGGAGAGCAATCCAAGACATTCTAAAGGCATGTCAGAACCATTTCATCTAAACGCATTTGGTATCAAAAAAAGCGCCAAATTGACTTCACTCACATGTAGTTTGGGATGGCTTCAGTTGAATTCAGTTCAAGGAGTTTCCTTACACTTCTTCCCACATCGATAGAGCTAGCCTTAACATGGCGTATAGGATCACGCCAAGTGATTCCAGTGTTGTTCGTTGAACAACAAAGGTATGGCCGATAAAGCCAGGCCAAAAGTGAGCTTTGATACTTCTATTAGCAATGATTTCCGAGGCTCGCGGGATACACCTACTCGCTGAGAATCCTCAAACTATAGACGGGGGCGATGATAGACCGATGCACATCAATGTCGACCGCCTCCCTGGTTACGGCGTCAAAGTCCTCTCTCCAGGCCCTCAGCTAACATTCAAATCCGATAACTTGCAACACGTCCAACAGTTTAAGCCTGTCGAGATTGCCGTTCCAATTCTGCTTGAAGCTCGCGCTTCTCCGGAAAATTGCCACGGCTCCCATGATGTTGCTAAGCTTGCACAAGGCGATGAACGTCGACACCAGAATCCGCTTCCGTTCGACATCCACATAACTGGGTTAGGATGATTCCAATCCGAAATCCTCTTCCGAAGGGAGTACCGGAACATCGGTCGAACTTTGCAGACGATGGGGGTTCCGGAGTCCCAGTGCAAGCATACGTCCACGGATGAGACAACACCACCATAGCAGTTTCCACCGTTTCCCCGTGGAAGGCTTTCTCTGCTCTGCATGCTATCGCCGTTCTTCGTCTGCGTGATGGAATGCTCGGCTGACCCAGTAGCTGTTGACCTGGGTCTCGGCGTCACACGGGGTCCAATGGCTTAGCAGAATCGAGACCTGGGACAGGATATATTGATCGGTCGTTACTTGCAATAGGTAAAATGCCAGAGACAGGGTTAGCTGGACGCTCGATAGCAGAAAACGGAAGTTGTGTTCTCACTTTGACTATTTCAAACTGATCCTTCTGTCCTTCATGGATTGACTTGTACGGTGTTTTCGCTAACTGCGCCTCGTTGATATGCTTTGGAGCAGCTTTAGCATGACTTCAGATAGCACGGGTGATGTGGATATACTTACTGCGAAGCCTTAAAACATGACAGCTTGCAACAGCACCAGATCAAGATACTTTGTGAGGTCCTCCTCCCTGTTGAACCGGTTGTAGATGAGCATGAAAGCATGCTCGTCAATTATTGGAAGGGTGGCATGGACGTGAATGAAGTACAAATGAACCAGATCACCTCGTATATCTCGAATAGAAGCAAGTCCATGCTTTCCTAGGATACTTTGACCATTGGTGCTGCCTTGGGTTCGAAGTATGTCGTAAAACCTTTCATACATGGTCTGAGGGTGACGCTGAGATATCGCCTCCGTCGGGGGGCTTGCATTGGAGATCAGGCTTGGCAAAAATACTTTTGGTATCGATAAGGTATTAATACTGGATGGTATTAGTTAGGTATTGCAAGAATCGATACATATTAATACCGAATCAATACTTAGCCTAAAATTATCTCTTCCATTTATTATTTAATTTATATAATAATATATTTATACATATATTCTTTATTTTCTAGTCCTTTTATTAAAGGAATTACTTAATATTATTAATAAGAGTTAATATTATCTTAATTTTAAAATGGCCCTCGTATTCGGTGAATTTAGTATCGTATTCGTATCTCTTATCAGAACGCTTATTATAAGCGAGCCTTACGAAAATCTCAAAAGCTATTTTTTGCTTAAAATAGCCGTATTAAGACGAGTTTTAGTCTAAACTATAAGATAGGTAGCTAAATAGAAAGCCTAAATTAAGTAGAATATTTGCGTTACCAAAGTTTTCTTATAATGGAAGTGGTTCTAAAGTTAATTGCAATTAAAGGGGGGAATTGGGTTCCGGGAATCGATACTTTATCGATAGTATCGATACCTTACGATTCTGGCATCGATACATAGAAGGGATCACCCACCAACCGCCCAAACCCCCTTTCCGCCCACGCCTACCCCACCAAAATTTTCTCGATTTTTCAAAGTCTTTGGAAATTTCTAAAAATTTGCTAGATTATAGAGAATACTCGAAATATTGCGAATATCACATTAATTTTCGATTTTGTGGCGTTAAGGTCTCCAAAATCCAAGTTGAGCGGAAAGGGGGTTTGGGCGGTTGGTGGGTGATACCTTCTATCGATACCAGAAATTAGGTATTTCTGCCAAGCCTGTTGGAGATTTCATTCCACAACGAGCATGTGGTCGTCAAATCCGAGTCCAGCGGAACATGGAAGTCCACTCTATCGTGTTCCCAATTACTTCTCCAACCGCCGGGAGAGTCGTAAGCGTTTTGTTGGCCTTGGAACCCCGAAAGTTGAGCTTCTAAAGCCGCATTGCTTTCGAAGAATCCATCACGAGCATCAATGCACTCCATGACGGTTTCGCAAGGACTATGCACCCCAACAGATGATCCACAAATATCTGGAATGCGTCAAGCAATTGCAGTCACCGTAGCAGCGATTCCAAATGATCTACAATCATTTGATCCAGTGCGTGCAGTGGTGACGAGTTTCCCCCCCTTTTAATTTTAATTTTTAAGAAAGTGTATCGGCTGGCACTGTACTTCACGTCAGGAAATTGGAGCTCGACTCCTGTTCATTGACTCAAGGTCTGTGGTTGATGGTGTGGAGCTGTTTGCGGAAGCTTTCTGGACCCTTAATATGTGAACTCTAAGGGATCGAACGTTGTTTCCTTTACCCAACTATTGTTTCATAATCGGATATGCAAAACCGGTGCAGCACTTCAGATTTTGTGTTTCAGACACGTGTTTGTAGAAGCTTCGAGCTTCCTTTCGGTAAAGGGCATCTCGGAACACATCCGTTTCAATTGGTTGTGCCTGCAACACTATCAGCACATCTCCGAACGTTCAGTACTCAAAAATGTGAAGCACCTTCATTGGGCGTACCATGGCCAGAACTCCACGGAATTCACGGAAATGGATTCTAAGCTTGGCAGAATGCCGATCGTGCACACGCCGTATACATTCGAGTCAGTGGCCAGACAGCTCTGTGCAAGGGTGCATCTACTGCCATCTATTACAAACACTAAGGGCTGTCTTGCGCCAATTGTTTCTCAATAAAACAATAATCTCAAGTGCTCGTATAGCTGTTCGGTACGTTTGCCCCATTTCGCCCAGGGCCTGCAAACAATTAAGGAGGAATTCCTGGGCGGCAGGCTCTTCTTTCCCAGTGAAACCACTACATAAGTAAGCGTGTATCAATGCAGCTCCCATGATCACATGAACCATCTGGACGTGGGTGCGTTTGAGACCGTAGTGACGGCGATAGACTGTGAGGATATGGCATATGTCGGATGCAGCCTGGAAGCAATTCAGCCGGGCTATAGATGGCGTGAGCATAGATGCTATATGTAAGACTTGAGGATCTGAGAGAAGAAATGGCCGATAGAGGAGAACCATTGCTTCCTGGTACTGTAGGCTATTAAGTTAAGATTGCCGTTAGTCTTAGGGTAATGGTAATTGCAAAGTAATTTATGGAAGCCAAGTGTAAGACTCACTTAAGTTCAAAAAACACCGGTAAGTGTATCTGCGATTGAAGCGGCTTTTCAGGCAAACGCAGTGAAGGAGGTAGCGAGTCGCTGCCAGCGAATCCTTCCTGTGTTTAAGCTCCCGAGCCATAAGACGGACAAAAGACTGGACTTCATCTATTGACTCCGCAACACCAGAATATCTACTTGGGATTAATACCTGCGCTCCTGGTTGTGGAATTCCGCAAAAGACTTACAGTGTGTCTGAAATTCTTCCCACTTTGCTCGCAAGCTCTGCTAGATGCACGTGGACAATTCCCGCAACGTGCAAATCCACCTCAAGTGGTAGTGTCATCGGGATCGTCTCTGTTACGTATGTCCACCGATAGCATCCGGCTGAAGGACTGGACACACTGTGCTTCAAATTCATCAACGATGGACGCCCGCAGGAGGAACTCCACAACCTATATTCTAATTAATCTTTAACTCATTCCATATATAATAGAAATAAGGTCAGGCATATTACCTATTATATTAGAGCTAGATAGAAAGCCAAGCTCGAAGATAGGCTCGCTAGTACTTTATATAGTAACAAAACAGCCTGTTTAGAATTCTAACGCAAAAGCGGCTTAGATGGTCTCCAGGGGGAGCCATTAGAGCCATTAACTAGAAAGGAACATTAGATCCAAACAGCAACGCCTACCTCTCTGTCGACGGCTAGATCACCTCCCCCCTAATCGAATATTACATCGCCTTGCAGACCTATAACCCATCTACAGCTCACTTTAAAAGGCATAGTCAGCAGCGACGGATCAGCCTACAACATTTAACAAAATACACGGACGAATGAGCCTAGCGTTGTGGGAACGGCTACGTTCCAGCAGCTTTTCTCTGAGGGGCAGAGCAAGAGGAGTATTGGGACGTTAACGACGGCGAATCATTTTAATGCGTGGGCGAAACTAGGGATGAAGTGGGGACGACGCATAATTATCAGATTGTGGCGACGGAAGGGAATATAAGAGTAGGGTAAGTGAGATTACTATTTCGTAAGGGAGGTGAGGTGCTGTGTGGTACCCAATCTCTCATTTAAGAAACCTATGCATACGAAATGACATGAAACTTTATCATGCGCAAAAACCCAAGCTTTCAACCCCAAGTAGACAAATCACCTATTGACTTTCTCTAACCCCACTGCTCCTCCTCCCTGATCCAACCCAACAAAAAAAGCATCGCTCTACATCAACCCAATTGTAACATCACCCTTAACCCTGGCATAAAGATCAACCTCAACTTCCAAATCAAGTTCGATCTTAATCTTCAACGCACTGTCCGACGCCCCAGAGTTACTGTCTGGCCGGTCTTTGATACGAGACTCTCGTACAGCGGCGGTCCTGTAGCCCTCAGCACGAGGGGAAATGTGGTGCTGCTCGGGCCTAAGTTGGTAGTCAGGCTGGGGCTGAGCGACTTGCTGCTGCTGCGGCTTGTTCTTGACGGGAGCCAGCTCTTGATTTCTGACGTTGCCGTTCCTGAGGGGCTTTTGCTTCTCCGGCTCGGATTGAGGAACCAGCTCTTCCCTTTCCTCAGTCTCTGTTTCTACGTTTCTTCCTTGGTTCATGCTATTTAATAGGTAAGCTTTGGAATTCTAAGAGAAGTAAGGGTTTATACTCGTTAGACATAGTTGTTAAAGCTTTGAGAAGAACTAATGATGAGAATAAATATTTTCGTGAAGTTGGAAGGCGAAGCTACAGATTAATGGCTCTTTTATGGGTCGAAATAATAAATGCACCAAATACCTGTATATTTGGTTTTGGAGGATGACGCGTGGTTTCAGGGGTTGAAAACTAGGATAGTGCCAATCAAAAAAGTCGGTACTCTACGGAAAGCGATAACCTTAAGGATCAGAAGACCAAGCGATTTTCGAATCTGGTTTTCGACCTGCGATGTCTGATTTGTGGCACGTGCGCACCCTACCAAAAATCGCCTACATATTATGCCCTCTCTTCCTGTGCCTCTACCTATTATTACTGCTTAAAATATTACTCTCTCTTTGATTCTTATTTATATATATATATAGGAGAAAAAGTGAAAAGTGAAAAGTGGAAAGCGAAAAGCGAAAATCGAAAAGCGAGCTTCAAGGCATGCGACTCGCGAGGAAAAGGAAGCCCTGTAATTATAGGCTACTTATCGCTAAAATTTAGGGCCACAATCACTAAATTATAGGCTATAGGCACTAAAAATTTAGTGCTTTGCAATGTAAATTTTTAGTAAGGTCCCCTTGCCCTGCCCTCCCCCCCTGCCCCCTTCTCCCTCTCTTACCCTTATACTTATAAAGAGAGCGAGAAGAATTAAAGAGAGGAAATATTTAAAGTAATAATAGAGGCACAGGGAGAGGGGATGTAATATATAGGCGTGGTATATAGGTGTTTGTAATTTTTGGTGGGGTGTGCACGTGCCACAAATCAAACATCGAAGGTCGAAAACCGGATTCGAAAATCGCTTGGTCTTTTGATCCTTACGGCTTTCCGTAGCTATGCCCATTGAAGTCAACCTTGAAATGCGGCCGCCTACCCCGCATTCGGTGTTTATTGCAAGACATCAATCAAACTTCTCTTTCCTGCAAGCAATTTTACCTCGATTCTACAATTCCATTTCTAATCTGCCACTGCTTTGTGCCCAAACCGCAGGACTTCCGGAAACTGCAACTCACCTTACAGACATCCATTCGCCATAGATCAGCTCTGCCGCAGTCCCATAAGCTCCATGGCGCTCTCGCCACACGGCAACCATTCAGCTCAACACCCTCAACTTCCAACAATTGGGCCCGATGACCCTTTTGTTAAAGTGGTTAAAGCTTTATCAGTGTATGTAAATCCTAAATGTTTCTTCAATTACTAATTCTGGCCCAGCTATTTCGTCGACGAACTTGCCCTTCCGTCGACCTTCGAACAATTGCGAACCACCTCTGCAGGCAACAAAATACGCATCCTTGTCGAACATCTCGTGCTCAATTGCACAAACTTGGCATTGGTAAATGCACTTCTGTTGGTATTCTCTCGGGTTTGAAGGCGGCACGCTGACTGGGAACAGAACTCTTAAATGGCATTTCTCGACACTCGAATCAGACGACCGCGGCTTGAACGAAACTCGAGCGAATGCGTGCGAAATTGTGGCATGGCGATTCCTCACCCAGGTCTCAGAACGAGATGCGGTCGATTTCTGCTTGTATGAGCTGCCTCCTGTACAAGCGACCGAGGAAAGTAGCGACGCCAACGGGATCGAAGGAGAAGCGGACGAGCGAACAGACCTTCTTCAACAATTTCGAGCGCAAACATCCCTTGCACCTATATCACCTGCTCGACCAGGCAGTAAAAGAGTTGAATTGCTACGATCTCTGTCTGGAATGGGAATAGACCCATCGGATGAGGCGCCAGTCGACACTGACGAGGAAGGAGACCCAACAACGTCGTTCACTGGCTTGAATGGCCTTGAAATCGCTGCTGTAGCGGACTGCAAGAAGTTCCTTAGTCAGAGGGTTGTGCAGAAAATAATAACGGGGATATGGAACGGAGACATCACCTTTTGGCAGAGTATGAGCACACATTCGAAAAAGAAACCGCAAATTTACAATAAGAGGAAATCTGATCCTTTTATACGCTTACGAGTACCAAGATACATCAAGGCGTTTGAAGTTCTCTTCTTTGCCACATTTTTGGCGCTTTATTATGCTGTTCTCGTTGAGCGGAATCCGTGAGTGTTCTTGTCAAACTGAGGTTAACTTCTGACTGTTTGGCAGCTACCACATCACCCCGCTGGAGATTTGTCTTTACATTTGGCTCGCAGCCTTTGCTTATGACGAGGTCAGTGAGTTTATCGACGCGGGATCAATATTCTACGCAGTCGATATATGGAACGGATGTGACGTGATCATCATCTTAATTGGAGCCGCTTTTCTCGTAACCAGTGAGTCTCAGCACTAGCTTTGGAACGAGCGGTTGTGGTTCTGATATGGCACCTAGGGTACGTTGGCTTGGTCCAGGATAGCAATTCTATAACGGACACGGCATTCGATATCTTATCATTAGAGGCACTCTTCATGGTGCCAAGGCAAGTCTAGCGGTTCTCCGAGCGAGAATCAACACTAATTGCACTGTAGAATTTGCTCGCTTCTGAGCTTACATCCATATTTTGGTACATTGGTAAGTTTACATGGCAACATGTCAGTTCAGCTATGCTAACGGAGACAGATTCCCTGCCTCAAAGAAATGGTTAGTATGGCTCGATGTTCTGTGAGACGTACCGACTTTAATATAAACCTTTAGGCCAAAGACTTTGTCAAATTCATGGTTATTGTTGTTGTTCTCTACATTGGTAAGATTTTCCCGCGCCGTTACATGTTGTTCGGGTGCTTATAGCTAGATAGGGTTTCTGACAACATTCTCGCTTCTTGGGAGAGGCACGTTCACTCTATCTGAGATGAGCTGGATTCTTATCAAGGTGTTCTTTGGCTCGAGTTATCTCGGGTTTGATATCATGGACGATATCAATGCCAAACTTGGGCCGCCACTCATGCTTATCTTCATCACCATGACCAACATCCTTCTGATCACTTCTTTGATCAGTATTTTGAGCGACAGCTTCTCAAAAGTCATTTCACATGCTAGAGAGGAATACCTTTTTGTTTATTCCGTCTATGTTCTCGAGGTAGGCACCGATGTTACTCTTTCTTTTGCACCACTGAACTGTAGATAGGCATCGACTGGTGACCGGCTCACACACTTCTACCCACCGCTGGTAAGTTGAAAGCCAAATCCGATTTATCTTTGACCTAACAAACCGTAGAATCTGATTCCCTTGATCTTCATTCGACCCCTCAGGCTATTCTTCTCGTCAGAACAGCTTCGCAATACTCGTATCATACTCCTCAAAGTAACTCATAGTCCCATCGTTGCGGCTATTTGGTTATTTGAGGCCACTAACGACCACCTCATGGGCACGGCCAGACCTTTCCCATCAATGGGCCCTGGCACAGGAAGGGGTACGGAGTCTATTCTGCCACCTGCCAAACAGCAACGACCATTTCTGTCCGATCGTGCGAATTCGAAAACACATTCCGGACAATTTACTGAGTTTGGTGGGCCTGATAGTCCTGGTCCGCAGAACTATCATGTTACGAGCAAGAAAGAGAATGGCAAGGGTGACGTGGTCGTGGTTGATAACACGGATCTGGAAGCCAAGGTGGCAGACTTGAGTCTGAAGATTGCAGAATTGACCGCCCTGATTATGGCACAACAAGGGACAATGGGAGAGGAATGAGTGGACGACGAGGATTGTATCCGACTGCAGACTAAATTTGGGAGGCTTGGCGTTGGGATAGCGGTAGCACTTAGGCTACATTGTAAGATTGCGAAAAGTCACGAAGGATATGGAAACTTGGTATTCAGCTCGTGCTGGCTTTTTCAAATAAGTTCTTCTCCAAGAGGAAATAATTTAGTCCTTCCTGGGGTGTAAATTCTCACGGCTGCTGTGGGTCAAGACGCAAAGTGGCGAAAGTGCCGCTAGTCTTCGACTATCTGCATCTCAACTTAATAAGCGCCGAAACTCTAGAAACGAGTGAGTTCGCTGCCATAACCTCACAATATCATCCTCAGGTCACCAGAGCCCTATGAAGGTTTCCTAATTGATCAAATCTCTACTTCACAGGTTCATTGTCCCAAAGCCGTGAATTCTAGGAAGTCAATGCCGTCCTTACCTCCTCGCCAAACCCTGAGCCCAAAATGGAAATGTCACGCCTCACGCTCCACATCAAGGCATTCCTCTTCCGCCTAGCCCAAACTATCGGACGATACTGCGATCTTTACCTCTCACTCCCTCTCCCGCAGCGGGTATCCTTCACCCGGCGCACCCCCTCCACAGTCGGGGATATTCCAGGGTCCTCTAACCTCCTCTTCTACACGCCTTCTTCCTACTTCCACTCCCCTTCTTCTTGTAAAAAATACCCCCTACTCATCAACTTCCACGGTGGGGGTTATACTATTGGAAATGCAGCTGACGACGCCCGCTGGGCCACCGAAGTCGTGAAAAGGACAGGAAGAGTAGTAGTCAGCGTCGAATACCGCCTCGCTCCCTCCTACCCCTTCCCAACCGGGATCGAAGATTGTGTCTCAGCTACTATGTATCTGTGGAAACATGCTCAGGAACTGAATCTCGATATCGAGAGGACGGCGTTCTCGGGGTTTAGCGCGGGTGGGAATTTTTGTTATACGGCTGCTTTTCGACTGCATGAGGAGTTGAAGAGGCTGAGAAATGAGGGGAAAGTTAATGAGGAGGAGGTGGGGAGGTTGGTTAGTATTGTGAGTTTTTATCCCGCTGTTGACTGGACGAAAACAAGAGCAGAGAGGCAGGCAAGTAATCCAAACTTTACGCCAATTATCAACCCCGTTTTCGGGACCCTGTTTGATGACGCGTATCTTTATCCTCGACCGGATATGTCGTCTCCGTCATTGAGTCCTGGATTGGCACCGGATGAGTTGTTGAGAGATGCGCTGCCGAAGGATTTGGTGATCATCACGTGCTGGGGTGATTCGCTTTTGGTGGAGGGAGAGGAGTTTAGGGAGAGGTTGAGGGGGCTAGGGAAGAGGGTTGATGGATATGTGGCTCAGGGTGTGGTGCATGGGTGGGATAAGTGGCCGAGTTGGTGGAGGGGGAATAGGGAGAGGGACGAGGCGTATAAATCTGCCGCTGAGAGTTTGAGGGAGTTTTGGAGTTGAAGTAGGCGGAGTGTCCAAGAAGAAGAAGAGTTTTGGGGGTGTAAATATCGAATGTACCAGATGACCTTGACTTTTATATACAACGCAATTTGCCAGTGGCATAACCTCCTCCATATCTCGAAGTTACGACATGATCTCAATCTTCTTACTCCCCACCAACTCCGCCTCCCTATTCAATGCCTCAATCTCAGCTTGCACATACGGAATCCCCGTCTTGAGTCTCTCTTCATGAATAACTTGTTCAATCTCGCCCGGAAAGAAAATCCTCTCCACACCCTTCATCCTCTCACACCCCGTCACCCTATCATACAACACTCCCATCCTCTCCCTAAACTCCCCAAGCTCCATAAACAAATCCGGTCTCAATACCACAAAGAAATGCCCAACATCCGCTTCCCCCGTCTCATCATACGGCCCCTTCACCTCCCCCGCAAACTTACTCCCTGACAAAACCCCCGAGAAAACATCCATCATAACAGCCAATGCACTGCCTTTCGGGCCGCCCATCGGTAACATCACACCCTCTAACGCTTTGCTCGGATCATCGGTCCTCTCCCCTTCCTTATCCAAAGCCCAATCAAGCGGAATTTTCTCCCCTCTCCTCTTCGCTTTATAAATCTTCCCCCTTGCAGCAACGCTCGGCGCCATGTCGAGTATAAAATCTCTTCCTCCATCTCGTCCCGGTGCACCGCACGCGATGGGTGAAACGCCCATCAATTTCGCCTTTCCTCCCCAAACCGGCAGCGCAGGACTGGAATTCGTGAAAACGAGACTCATCATATCGGCGTCAAGAGCCTGCTGTACAACCCAGGCAGCCATGCCGAAATGATTACTGTGCTTGACGGACACCATGCCTATCCCATACGTCTTCGCCATCTCAATCCCTTTTTCTATTCCTAAATGTGCTGATAGGAAGCCGAAACTGTTGTGTCCGTCCACCTGGGCTACGACGGGTGTTATTTGGGAAAGGGTGGGCGAGGCGAGGGGGTTTAGGAGGTTGTTCCGGATGCGGAGAAAGTACGAGGGGAGACGGTTGATGCCGTGCGTGTCGACGCCCCGGAGATCGGCAAGCACAAGCGCTTTGGCTATGATAACTGCATTTTCGGGGGGTACTCCATTTGCTTCGAGAAGTCTTTGGGCGAAGGAGAGGGCGGAGGATTGGGAGACGTAGAGTTTGGGGGTTTGGTCATGTGACGAGGGAGTTGACATTGTGGAAAGGGGGGAGGTTTGAGGTTGGTGGTTGGTTTTGATGCTTGGATTGGGTTGAGGAAATAAGTAGAGGCTGAGAAATTCGACACAGTTAGTTGACAGAAGTAAATGTTGAAGAAAATTCTTTTGAAGTTGACTGTTTGAGGGGGATTTATATAAGTTGAGGGTAGACGGATCGAGCCCGACACTTGCGGGATTCTTCCGGGCCAGTAAGGGAGCGGCGATGTTCTGGAAGGTACGTAACAAAACGATCAGACTACGTATATCTGAGTACAGCATCTGGGCGGTAGCAATCATCACAACACTTAAAACGTTCTACCTGAATCATGTATATTTCATAAATATTCATTCGGCCGGAATTCATAACTTCATAGAGCATTCTACCTTCCCAGTCTTAAATAAAGTAATGATCTACCACATCTCGAACAAACTCATCGCCCTCCAGTCCTCTTTCCATCCACATTCTCAACCTGTTCCTCCCTCGAAATCTCCGCAACCTTCTCAGTATCACCCAGCATCATCGCTTCAGCAACGCTTCCTTTTCCAGCAGTCAAAGCAGCACCCTTCCGTCCAATCATATGCCAGGGCAAGTTGAAAAGCTCATCCATCCCCTCCAAAGACTTTCCTACAGTCTCAGGCAAGAAAAACCAAACGAATCCCAATCCCAAAAGCGTCACCGCTGTAAAGAACCAGAATGTGCCGTTGGGTGACAGGCCTGGCGCTCCCACGACGAGCATCTGTGGCACCGCTTTCGTGTTGCCATACTGATTCACAAAATGGAAACACATGATCATAGAAACTCCCAAAGAACGAACACGAAGAGGGAAGATTTCAGCGCCGATAAGGTACTGGATAGAGTTCCAGCCGAGTGCCCATCCTACACCGGAGAAGTAGATCATGGCAATTGCGCCTGTCCCAGCATGCTTTTGAGACGCGCTTTTCAATTTACCCGTTGTGGCTGAGGGAACTACTGTCAAGTAAATGGCGACGTAAAACATGGCGACGAATTGAATGATGATTCCAGTCGCCAAGGAGCGTTTTCGGCCGATGAAGTCAACGAGGAAGAATGCACAGATGATCGCGGACACGAATTTGACGACACCGAATATAGCGGTTGCAAAAAGCTTCTCTGAAGAACCGGTAACGCCAAGAGTTTGGAAAAACTGGGGTGCGTAAATGGTGATAGATTGTGCGCCAGACCATTCTACCAAGTGTCAGTTGCGAGATCAACCATCAAGGTTAGATGAGAACTTACGTCCGAGAAGTTGACATCCAAGGCCGAGAAGAATACGATATCTATTCCCAGGAAGCATGAACAGTTCTTTCAGTGGCCCAAGGAATCCGGAGCCGAGAGTGGCCTCACGCTCACGCTCAAGTTGATCGTGGATATCGATGAGCTCAGCCTGGACATATGGATGATCTAATGGGAGTTTGCGGAGCTTCGACATATTGGCCGCCGCTTGCTCATCTCTACCAACCTTAGCAAGCCAACGTGGAGACTCCAAGGCGAAAAAGCTTCCAATTATGATTAAACCAGCGAATATTATGTGGAGAATAGTCGCATCCACCCATTGTTTCGAGGTGCTGTTGGAGATATGGAGTGAGGTTCCCCAATTGGCGAAATATCCCAACATGATCCCCAAATAAACAGAGCCAGAGAAGATGCAGATGCACAGTCCACGAATACTTCGGGGTGATGCCTCTGCAAGATAAGTAGGAGCAACAACGGTCGTTTGCCCGATTCCAAGGCCCATGATGAATCGTCCAGCAAGGACTTGGCCGTAACTTCCATTTGATGTGATGTAAATGATGACCCCAACTATCCAGATAGTGCAGAGTTGGCGAGTAGCCCACAAACGGCCTCATTGAACAATTAGCCTAGTTAATTCATTCGGAATTATCTGTTGCAGGCGTACCAAGTTTGTCACAAGCTATGAACGCAATCAATGCCCCACCAACGCTTCCAATCTGGACCATTGCCGTAATATTTCCAGTCCTTTGTGCAAGTTGAGTTGCATTTTGGGATTTTGTAAGCTTGAGGTTATATTCTAGAATGCGTCAGCAGGCAATAACCAAGAGCGGGAAAGAGAATACCAACCATTAATAAAGCTTTTCTGCGTAACCGTGGTGCCGATAAGTCCTTCGTCTAGACCACGAGCTGCTCCCTATGTCACACAGTTAAGACCTGCGTTCGGAGAATTCTGGAATGTAGTACCATGAGTCCGAAGCAGAGCACACTGAAAGCAAGCCTCCAATTAAAAGCCTCTCGTGGAGTTTCGGCCAATGCAGCCTTCCACATCCCGGGTCCAACAGGATTTCCCATCCTATCGAAAGTTTAAGGTATCTCTTAGACAATTTAAAGTGCAGCCAAATTTGAGATGAAAATTTGAAGCAGCAGATTGATTCCAAAAGTGAGTTATGTGGGTGAGGTAAGAAAGTGAAAAACTTGAAGTGGGAGCTTTTGAATTAATGGCTCCTCCAGCATGGCGGCACGCACGGGCACAGGCTAGATAACTTGTACATCCATAATCCTTACCTTACAAGGTACATGCACCGATCCCACGCTTGAACCACGTACAGGAGGATATCAAGGGAGGGGCAGATCCCACATAAGCACTCCTTTGTGAAAAGTTGGCTAGCGAGTTATACTCTCCCAGTTCGTGCTCACTACATGAATCATTTGATTCCGAGGAAGACTGAATCCATTGCGGTTTCTCTCATCTCAATCCGCGCTCAATCTGGATATTAGCCCTGGGCGAAGTGAGCTTGGGTAATTGATGGATGACCGTGCCACCGTGGTCACTTGCCACAGTACACGCCCAATCATGATGCATCGGGCATGTCAGCACATTTGAGAACGCCTAAAACGCCTACTCCGTACAACGCCTCCAAAAATTCCGGGCTAATTGCGGTGCTACTCCCACGCGGGGAAGCCGTACAGGGGAGCTTTGCATGGTTGTGGAGTAACTGGAGAGTTGAAGGGGCCAAATGTGGGGTGGCGCCTGAAAGGGAAGGTCGATCTCGGCTTTTGACGGAGACGGGGAAGACTGCATCCATCCGCACCAAATCTCGAAAAAAGATCGTCGACCGTCTTGGCCGCTGCCTTCAAGCTCTGCCAAATGCTTGATTTGATGTCAGACCGCAGGGAGGCTTTTCGCCAAGAGTCTTGCCGCCCCAACAATTCATCGGTGCTTGCATTCGAAAGCTTGAATCCAACATTGCACCCCTCCTCGGTAGGGGCTTTGTATCGAAACAGGAGTAAAATTCCGAATTGTAGGCGGGAAATCTTCGGTTTGGGTTAACCTTACCCAGAAGTGAAGAAGTCGGAGGAATGAGGGAGGGCCGGCAATTGCTCTGGGGCCTGGTTGATGGTGCAAAATGTTACATGACAAAATGCCCATTTTCGAGCTGGAAACTTTGCCGGAATTCGACATCCAGTTGGTAGTCATTGAAGACCTCTTGCATGATTGAATCGATATCGAACTCCTGATTGGTTTCATCAAAGAAACCTAGCATGGACGCCGAGGGCTCGGAGCTCAACATAACATCCAAGAAGGGGGATGGGCTAATAAGACTTGCTCGCTCCTCAATAAGCTGCGCCTGACCTCCATTGCTGCCATTGTTTGTTTCCGATGGAATATGTTGATTTCCTGCACCAAGAGTATCCTGGGCTCCCAAGGCCGCGCGAACTGAAGGTGCCGGCTGCCTGAGTTCGAATTCGGTCAGCCATCGAATTGTTGTTGTTGAAAGCTCATCCAAAAAGTCCCGGCTTCGCTTTGCACTAAACCAGTGCTCTCCAAGCGCACTTAGGATGCTTGATGCCGATTTTAGATCTGCGTTCAGGGTTTCGAGCTTCGTTGTTCTCGTCACACTTGGGACTTTCCAGATACAGTACAGCATGGATATAGTTGCCAAGAATACTGAATGAATGGTTGGCCAAGTATATGGAAGGGTATTTTCACGATACAGCCCATCAAAGGTACGGATGACAGCCAGGGCGCTCTGTTGACAGAGTTTTAATGACTCATGAGAAGGTTGAGGTATCGCAGGGCTGGGTCGCAAGAGAAGCATCATAACCTCATGATACTTAATCTCGACCAATTTTGCAACGTAGGTTTGAGTACCATGACACGACGGAGTCATTGATTCCCAGTGTCGAAGTCTGCGAAGGACATCGTCTTTCCAGGCCAGCACATCTGGAACTTGAGGATAACTGTGTGGTGGTGCGTTGCGTGAGATGCAGTTGCCAATATACTTGATCTCCGAGTTAAGTTGCGCAAGCTCGATCAGATGGATTGATAGTGTGATATCTGATGGAGTGTGGTTTTCAAGGCGTTGTCTTGGTTCCAAAGCAGACAGTGCGTCGTCATCGATATCCTGAGGAAGCTATAAACAGTAATGTTAGTAAGATTACTTACCAGAATAGAGGTAACCAAAAAATCAAACTCACTCGTAGCTCGCAAGCTTCATCTCTTAACCCTATTGGTCGTCCCATGATCGTTGCCAATGTCCTGTCTAAGGAGTAGACGACCCAGAATATTCGCGTTCGCATCTCTTGGGTCAACATGGACAAACTCTTCCCGGCCCTCACATCTCTTTGCAGCCCAAGATCGAGCACTGAGGCAATGCACTGGTAATTGAGGTACCACAAATTTAGGCCCAAAGAAGAATTGTTCAACGCATATATCTGGAGTAACAAGAGACACTGCAGGCCTTCCAGGGAACCCTCAATCTGGATCTGGTCGAAGTAGGTCATCGCTGCAGCACAATAACCTTCTGCAGAGAGGGGAGTTTTCAAACGCCGGGACAGGATGGTCGTTGAAATGGCGAGCACCATATATACTTGAAATGCAGCCACCGGACTAGGAGCCGTTGAGCTGTGCATATGTTCTACAAGCTTCCTATGCGTGGGCGAATGTAGAAATGGATACTGAAATTGTACGTTCTCCCAATACGCTGCTGAAAGTTGAATGGAATGCTCCATAGTCAGCGGCATCTTCGCTGGTGGGACCCGGAAAGTTTCCCTATCCAATATTGAGGTGGCTTGAAAGCTCTGAGTACGAGGATGTTCGTCCTGCCGACGCCGTTGACCAGCACTTGCAAGGACAAGCTTGGCAAAGGAGTAACCGCTTGAAGGTCCAACATAACGAGGATCTTGACCTGCTGTTACAGACACTAAACCAATCTCGTGTGCGAGGCTCTCACGCTGAGGCTCATCAACAGCCGGTGCTTGCTGTAGTTGCGGTGTTGCGGAGCCTCCGCTCATCGAGATCCCGTCGTGAGCGTTGGTTTGCGGGTTGATCAAGTTCCTCGGTCCTTGCATCAAGTCGACGTCTGAGCAACGTGTCTTGACAATTTCCTCGAGCCACCGAACACGATCTTGAAGTCTGAAAGATATATAAATATCAGTGAAAGGGATTTGAACATCATATCGCCACTCACGCCCTAGAGGCCTCATGCTGCTTCTCCCGGGTAGGTTCCGTCACACATGCAGAGCCAGCTTTTCTGCAGTTTGAGCATGCTGGGATACCTTCATCGCACTATCTGGTGGTCAGCTCGGATTTAAGATAATAGCAGAGCCGGATGAGTTAATTTAAAGCCAAAAGCGTCGACGAATACGTGCCTTGATCTTGCGTGTCTTGCATCTTTCGCATGCGGTCTGGATGCGCGCCCTTCTTTTGGCCGGTCGTGGGAAACCCATTTCGGCCATTCTATCAATCGGAACACGACTAGATTGCCGCTCCTGGCTTGATTCCGAACCATCCATGTTGGTTGAAACTGTGAGTGAGGAGGGAGGTGATGTTGAGGAAGAGGAGGAGGATGGCCTCTCGGAACGCACCCGCGAGACGGCTAGCCTTCCGTGACCTAGTGCCCCACTTGTCCCGATTGGGACATTCATCTGATAGTACTGTTTCTTTTCGTCCTATATTTAACCAAAGTATATAAAACGAAAGTCAGGTGGAATTTCAGATTTTGTACATACATGTCCAAGCTGCTTGCAGAGGTTGAAAAACACAATGCATTTCATGACCTCTCACCAAAACGTTCCCTCGCAGGAGCTTTCTCCCCCACCTCCTTCATCACTGGCGCAATCCTCACCAAGCACCTCCCAACCAACTCTCTAACCTCCTCACTCCAAATTCTCGGCCCATCGAAGACCGCAGGTTGAACGCTCCCATAAAACTGCCTTTCCTTTTCCCTCTCGTCCGGTTCTCCAGTAGGAGGAAGAGGAGGAGAATGTGCATGGCCGTGAATGAACGCCGTGTGGAACATGTACCTTGATTCGAAATCGAGGTTCAGTATTCCTTCCTTAGCTGATTTCTCCAGATCTTCAACGTAGATACTGGGAAGCGTTAGACTTGGGGCTTTGGAAGGAAGAGTGGAGTGCGTTCCTTGGTTTCAACTATCACATTCAGAGATTCAGTGGTCATTTCCAAATGAGAACAGAATGAAAGGAAACAGACATGTAAAGCTGCCCTCCAAAGGGGGTCTTCCTCTTCCCAGTTATCTTCAATGAACCACTCATCAACCACCTGTTTTGGGATCGCGGGCCTATCTCACGCCTCTCAATCAACAGCCCCAAGCTTGAAATATGAGGGAAAGAAAGTTCTTACCAAGGAATGCTCTCATCTCTTCTCCATCTCAACACCTTACATACTCGTGTCTGTGGATTCCTTGGTTGCACATAGATCCGGTCTGCTTGCACGTGCTTGCAGAAGATAGGCATGAAGGCGGTGATAAGAGTTTCGGGGTCATGCTTGTTGTCTGCGAAAACGGCTTCCAGATCAAGTGGTAATAATACTGGTTTGGGCATTTCTAGTGGTTGCTGTATGGAGTGCTAGTGGTAAAAGTCAAGGGGAGACGTTGCTTGGAGAGTTGATAAGGTTCGGATGAGAAAACAAGCAATCGGAGACCAGCCGTCGATGCGGACGGTCTCCGGGCCCCACTTTCGCTCTGCTCTCATTGCCCCTCCTTGGCTTCTTGCGTTGTTCATACATCGAATATAAGGACTGAAAATTCTCGTATCAAGTTGAGCAACTGAGTACCAGTTTTCGAGTTTCAAACTTTCATTTGAACTCTCAAAATGACAATAATACATATTGGCAAGTCCTCCCTCGCACCCAGCGATTTCACACACCTAACAGCCTTCCAGTTCTTTTCAAATTCTGCCCCTCCGCAACAACCATACAAAAATCATCTTTCCTCACTGCAATCAAAGAGCTCAAGTCACTTCCCAGTATCCTCGATAACCGACTTATCGTCGGCGGCCCCTCTGTTACAGACCCTATTGAGAAAAGTAAAGGTTTCGACTATGCGCTTCTGAGTTTCCATCGTGACAGAGAGGCGTTGGAAGAATATCAGGCGAGTAAAGAGCATAAGGAGTATGACTCAAGTGTGTACGATGGGTTAGAGGCTGATGAAATTTTGAATGTAGAGTCGTGAGCACGTATCTATACCCGTATAAAGATGATGTCGTGAGGTTTGATTTTGAGGTTGATGGGGAGGATGAAGCGATGGCTGGGGTGTTGCCGATGCTTTTGGGAAATCGATGAGTTGAGCTGTGCTTCAAGAAAAGGGATGTAGAAGATTTAAGTACTCTGGCTCACTGTCCTGCCCCTTGCTGAAGACGTTTCCTCTAACGTGTTGAACAGTTATTTCGGGAGGAATAACGAGAAGAATTGAGTGGAATGTAAAGCATCAACTGGGGCGTCTGTGCGCCTTTCTGTGGCGGATGTTGCATCGTGTATGGCAAGAGCACAGTCTCTTCTTTCACCAGATAGCTGATATAGTTCGTTATTTCGGTCCTGAAGTCCAACCTCTGAAGCGGTCCCTGATCGAAGCCCAACCCAGGCAGTTGAGTGATACCTTGTATGGTGTCGTCAATGGTGGCTTCTTCGGAAGCACCCGCGTATAGAGTCCCCGTCAGTTGAGATCCGGGTTTCTCTTTTTCAGCCTGAAAATCTCTACACAGTGATTAGAATGAATTTGGCATCATAATTGGGGCGGACATTTACGAATACCAGTCTGATTGCCATCCCCACAGATCATTTAGATACCCCGCCTTAAACTCGTCCGGATTCCGGTGCCACAACATCCAGAGAAGTAAAATCCACACGATCCAGTATGTCCTGTCCCAGTCTTCAACTACAGCGGCCCAATTCAGTGGCAAAGGTTCTTCTTGGTCTTTGGCAATTAGCTTCATCACAGCATCGTGTTCACGCCGGTAATCCATTTGTAGCCACCCAAAAGCGCATTCCAAAGATAGAAAATTGGCTTTGTCGTTTGCTTCGGACCTCGATGAACCGTGTGAACAAAGGTGGTTAAAAGAAATAGCCCGCTGTAAATAATCCATGGCCGAGTCAAGTACTTCTTCGAGGACGCGGAGTTGATTGTGTCTGTACCCCAAGGCAATCCGTTGATTCTGGTTCTGTGGCTCACTGCCGTCATTAGAGTTGAGCGAGTGGAACTAAATCGAATCCCTTACCCCAGATTTGCGCCAGAAGCTTCGGTCCTCTCCATCTCGTACTGAAGTTTTTCACAAATAAGACTTAGTGATTGAATGAAAGCTCGAGAGAGAGGACCTCCGAATGGTGCCGCATCTTTTTCGATACAATAGCCTGGGCTCTCTATTATGAATTTCCTTTCCCTTGCGCTGGCTACCATGCAAATCATCGTATCCATAAGGCCCTCAGAGAAGGACTTGAGCAGTTCTTGTAGGCCAGCTTTCCCATTGCTCGTCTTGACATGGAACATAAATTCCTGCTCTGGTTGAGCATGATCGTGGAAAACATGACAGGATTGAGAGCGACGAAGTTGCATTCCATCAGGGGACGGTGTCAATTTCAGATTGCCCTTGTCGTTCTCTGGGTTTGGAAGAATGAAACCATAGGCTACCAACAGCTCGCTGTTGGACTTGTTGCCATAGTAGTTGAAAATTTGGCTTCCTTCAGCAATTGTATCGCGGATTGAAAGACTGAAATATCCAGCAATGGCGTCTGGGAGCCAGTCGACTTGGTTGACCCCACTATGATTCCCGATGTCCATTAACGGAAGGAGAACAGAGAACCTGTCTTTCTTGATGTGGTCCAAGGTCAGAGATCGATCATCCGGCGGGGTCTCTGATTGCCCCATGAGTCCTTCTGGAATGGTCAAAGATGCTCGAAAACTTCTGCTTCCAAAGATTGTCGCAGCCCATTGGTATAGAGGATATGTGTATTCCTCCCAGTTCTCAAATCTTTCCCGAAGAAGGGTAACTCCCTTGCTCCACTCTCCTCTCCACAGTTCCTCGCGCTTCTTGATGGGCGGTTCTGCATTCGTGCCGTCCAGGAATCGCCGGTCTGCTTCAGGCCACCAGTTTGGAATAGCGAGTCTTTCGAATTCATTGGGTTGAGGGAGCAGCTTGATGTAAGGCCACCAAAACGATTTCTCACGCATCAGAAATTGCTGCACTAAGAAGAAATGGCCAATAATGTTTGGATCTTCCTGCCTCAAAGCATCGATGAACTCAGGCGGGAATAAAACAGACTTGTGATTCTGGAAAACAGAAGATGCGGAAATAGCATTGAGGTAAGAGAGCGTTGTTTGGTAAGAGCAATTGACAATCTTTGTGGCCTGTGGTAGACTTTTCACAGCTCGAAAGGAGAGTCCGGTGAGAGGATCCTGGTAGACCTCGATGTCCTGATGAAGCGAGGTCCGGTGCTCGCGTGCCCAGTCCACAAGGTCTCGGATCATTGGCGTATCATCCAGCATTGTGCTTGACCAATTGGCTTCTGTTGTGGTTTTGGAGTTCGATGTTGACGACTGAATGAATTCTGTTGTTGAAAGGTAGATCCGTGAGTTTGGTGGATGTGGGATATGAGGATGGACCAACAACACTCCAAAAGGGCTTGACAATGCTCAAGACGACAGCAGAGTGGAATCAAGAGAAATCGCTCGAACGCTGACAGCAGACAGGCTGCTAAGGAATAGGAACGAGGTCACAGCATCGACGAGGAGCAAGATTCAACGGAAACACATCTCCGATGATTCGGCCATTTCTCATAGTAAAAACTGCTGGCTAAGTCCAATGCCTATTCTTTGCCAAAGGGAGAACAACACCACTAGATTGCGCTTTGACATGAAATTGTGAAGGAGTGATGGTCCCCGATGCAATTTCTCAGATGGTGGGAGCCGAAATACGGAAGCCGCAACAATCCACACACGTCATTAAGAACAAGGCAGCTCTCGTCCTTCCAGACATCACAGCCCCCACCACAGCCTGATGAACTGCATCTCCAAGGCCTTGAGGATGCTGCCTACGGAGGCTACGCGTGTTCCGTGATGCAGAAGACCCCGTTTGTACTTCTTTGGGGACTTCTTATCTTCTCGGAAGCAATGATCCAACCGTCATTATGCAGTGAGTTGTGATCTCTTGGGTCGCAGGTAAGTAGCCGTCAGCAATTCAAATATCGCGGTATTCAGGCTCTCGTTTGTTCCTCTTTGGTCTCTTTCTTTCTCTTAGACCTCTACCGGCCTCCATTGTCAAAATCTAGCTGCCATGTTTATCTACGAAAATCAAAATATTGCCCAGCAGCGCACACCAGACACCGTCGCACCTCTCATCTATACGAAACCCCCGATTACGAGTCGATTCTCCTACTTCTTGAAGCTTTGGTCTCTGAAGATAGTCGAACGGGCTGGATTCGCCGTCATCAGAACTCTCAAACCTGCACCAAAAGGAATTCGACCATCCTTCCTTAAGACGTACCCGTGTCGACCCCATCTTCGAAATCGAGTCTTTATACCACAATCGCGCAAACCTTGGGAACAACTTCCCGCATACCTCGATTTACATGCCGGAGGCCATGCCCTGTACAATGCCCAATTTGATGACGAGTTCTGTGCTACGCTTGCGAATAAGCTCAATATCTTGGTCATAAGTATCGAGTACAGCAGAGCCCCAAGAAGCAGATTCCCTGGGCCGACGAACGATGTTGTTGCAATATCACAAGCAATCATTGAAGATGGGGATCTGCCTATCGACAAGAGTCGTATTGTCTTAGGCGGCTTCAATGCAGGCGGAAATCTTGCTCTCTCAGCCGCCCAGTTTCCGGAATTGAAAGACAAGATATGTGGCATCGTCTGTTGGTATCCAGTTACAGACTTTGCTCTTTCGGCATCTGCGAAGCAAAGTTCGAGGCCATATCGGAACAAGCAGGATCTGGATGATTTCAAGGACTGGGCTCCACTGTGGAAGTGGGCTTATATTCAACCAGGCCATGACATCCGAGATCCATTGCTGAGCGTCAGATATGCCAAAGCGGAAAATCTCCCTCGATGGATATATATGATCGGGGCACAGTACGATATGCTTGCAGAAGAAGCAAGGGAAACGATTTTTGATATTGCCAGACTTGATGAGCAGGAGAGAAAACAAGGGCTTGACGGATTTGAGAAGGGCACATATAGGTGGAGACTGGTGAAAGACGTCCGGCATGCGTTTGCAAACAATGTCACGAGCGGCAGGAGCAAAGAAACTGAAGCTATTGACAGGATGCGGACCGAGCAGATGCTGAACTCCGTCGGCGAGTGGCTTTTGAAGGGTCCGTTGGGGGCCTCGAGATCGGATTCGTGATTTCCGATCAATGCGTCCATAGAATGGAAGTGGACATGTGCCATCAAAAGTTTTTACTCTGCCGCCCGCCTCGTATTCACAGGCAAAATCTATTGACGAAGCGTTAGAAGACACGAGACCAAAGAGCTCAATTTGCAAATGCTGCTGAAACATCAGCCCAATACTGGGCAGAGATTATGGCAAGGTTTATGTGTGGTTCCTGAGGAGGCTATGACTGGTCGTTGGGTAGCATAGACGAGGCTGAGGCGCAAAAGGTGGCGTGACGTTACAACAACGTCCATCACGGACATAACTCCACGGTATCCTGCCTCCAATCACTTGCTCGATGACGCCGCCGATGTCCGGGACACAACATTCGAGAGACAAGCAACGTGACCTAAGGAAAACAGCCGATTTCTCGAAGCAACATATAAGCTGCAAGGTACCCCCGCACAGCCACAGCCTTGTGCAAGTCCATCCCTTGGATACTTTCCTCGCCTTCTCACTTCAATTCCTGAACAACCCTAAGAAAAACATACACGAACCAAGCACTATACCAAATCAGCCCTCCAGAACTATCAGATTTGAGTGTACCACATTCACAAATCCATCGACACCATGTTCGACCACATACCTCACCACTTGCTTCCAAGTGCGCCCTCATTTTCTTCCGGAGATGTTACTCCGCCATCTCGAGTGCCAACGCCTCTTCGACAAACTCCAAAGAGCTTGAGGCCATATGTCTATGCTTTAATGGCTTTCAAACATGGCCGCAGCTTCGAAGCAAAGCCTTCCGCCCATCGTGCTCGCCGGCTCAGCCAGCTTGCGACCAAAGAAGGCCCGTTTGCCCCAGCGCTTACAGTATGCTGTTTTCAAATTCAATTCTATAATCTTCCAAGCTAATGATCTAGACTCTCTATGTTGGCATTTCTGCCGTCTTCAGCAACTCACACTCCGCGGTTGTTGCCGTCGCCATCCACGACAGTGTCTACCTCCTCGACTTCTCCGTAAAAACTGTCGAATTAGAAGCAGCATTGGAGAGAGGAGAAGATCCAGTTGCGGACTATGTCATCGCTGAATTGGAGTCATATGAACACAATAACCTCAGCAAGTTTATCGGCGCTGGCCTGCCTTTCGAACTCGTGAAGAAGAGCCCGAAGCTATGCTCAAGGCTTTGGTTGGAGCTCGATATTGTCCCAATCTCAATCTTGCCAGAGTCTGAAGGCCATGAAACTGAATTGAAGGACCGCACATTTTGGAGCGCCAAGTGTGTGGACGAGCAGGCAGACTCGATGGCCAGAAAATGTATCATGTAAATAGAAATCTGAGTATGACATAACAAACTGAGACCTTACTGACCGTCTATCATAGGCACTTCGGTCCCAGCCTGGCCCCTTTACTGCAAGTCGGTTACAGAGGCGTCGTCGAAATTGACTCGGGAGGTAGAGCCCACATCCTCACCCTGGACGATTTCAAGAGTACTTGTAGCCAGAGTACATGGCATGCAATGATGCATTTCGTGACTGAATTGAAGAAATCGAAGACCAAGATTGCCTTTTTCAGCAGCACACCACAAGGAGGCGGGGTTGCCCTGATGAGACATGCCCTAGTTCGATTGGCGAAAGTCTTGGATGTCGACTTGAATTGGTATGTTCCCAAACCAAAGCCAGGAGTTTTCAGGATCACCAAGACCATTCACAACATCCTCCAAGGTGTAGCAAAGCCAGATGTGCGAATCACTGCAGAAGAAAAGCAAGTTCTGACGGATTGGATTGCGGACAACGCAAAGCGTTATTGGCTATCCTCCGGCGGCCCATTGCGACCTGTAGAAGAAGGTGGGGCGGATGTCATTATGGTAAGTTCACAAGAAAGAAATACGGACTGTTGCTGATACATTTTAGATCGACGACCCTCAAATGCCTGGCTTAATCCCCCTGATCAAGAGCATAACCCCCAATAGACCCGTTCTCTACCGAAGTCATATCCAAATTCGGAGTGACTTGGCGATGACAGAAGGTTTACCGCAACACGACATCTGGCAATTCCTTTGGGGTAATATTCATCATGCCGACATGTTCATCAGTCACCCGATTCCCTCCTTCGTTCCTAGCAATGTCCCGCGAAATAAGGTTGCCTACCTTCCAGCAACTACGGACTGGCTCGATGGACTCAACAAGGATTTGAATGAATGGGATCAAGGCTATTATGGACATCTTTACAACGACCAATGCCATGCTTTGAGAATGACTGAGCTAAAATGGCCTGCCAAGAAGTACATTATCCAAGTCGCCAGATTCGACCCTGCAAAAGGTATTCCAGATGTCGTCGAGTCTTATGCTGAATTTCGGCGCCTCCTCGCCAAGCACCACCCTCACATTGAGGCTCCTCAATTGGTCATTTGCGGCAATGGTTCAGTAGATGACCCAGACGGAACCATCGTCCTCGATGAAACGTTCTCCCTACTCGAAACCCGCTTCCCACACCTTCTTTCATCCATTTCTGTCATGCGCCTTGCACCGAACGATCAACTGCTCAACACCCTTATCTCTGCCTCGTATGCCGTCCTCCAGCTCTCCACACGGGAAGGCTTTGAAGTCAAAGTATCTGAAGCCATTCACAAAGGCAAGCCAACAATCGCCACCAACTGCGGCGGCATTCCACTCCAGGTCCAGCACGGCAAGAATGGCTACCTAGTTGAACCCGGAGATTGGCATGCTGTTGCTGGACACTTGCTAGATCTGTGGACGGATGATAAGTTGTATGAGGAGATGAGCAACTACGCGAAGCATAGTGTGAGTGATGAGGTTGGCACTGTTGGAAATGCCTTGAGTTGGTTCTATTTAGCGAACAAGTGGGCAAATGGAAAGGGTGTTCAGCCAAACGAGAAATGGGTTAATGATCTTGCGAGGGAGGAGGCGGGCATTCCTTATGAGAAAGGAGAGAACAGATTGCCGAGAACTATCTAAATTTGGAGTATCGCGCAAGTTTTGAGCCATTTGGCCTGATAATACACCAGAGAAAATTGTGCATAAGAGGGAACAGCAAGTAAAGCAGAAGTTTTGCGGCGTTAGGCAACACTGGCCGGTAGTTTATACTATCTGGGGGGGGGGGGGGCGATAATTGGGGAACTTTCGTCTCCCTTTCTGGATACTGGAATTTGTTTGCGCTATTCAGATTACCCACAGAGTCTTGGTACATCATCGCAGTCAATCGCCAAAAAGAGTTGGCCCAGAGCATTTAGTTGATCTATGAGAAAGTGTTTCCATTTGCTATGAAGAAGGGAAGTCTTCCAGAGAACCATCCAAACGATAAGTATATGTGCAAACAAAGAACTGAGCTACCGCACAGTCAGTCACGTAATATCACGTGGCCACAACGAACAGAGGATTCTAGAGTCCTCCAGAAGCAACACATTTCATGGTTTCTGTTCCCATCAACAATTCATGCCTTTACATTGGCCTGCTGTCCTGGCAAGCGCTGACAGAACAGGTGACGTCGATGGCGGCAAGTGACGCTGCTGCAAGCCTGTAGATTTTGCATCCAGCTGCCAGGAGCACATACTAGCTTCAATAAGTACCTTGAACCCTAAAGTTGTCTTCGCTCGTGGACTGCTCCTTCATTCTGACAAGCTTGGATAGATTGATTAGATCTGATCTAGAGTTGTCCGGATTCTTTAGTAGACCCGTATATTCTCAGCGGGAGATCTAATCAGATACACCCCCGCCTCTACTCTAGCTGGAATAAGCAATTGATGTACACGAGCACCTGGAATGCTGGGATAGTAGCTCCAAGAACAGGACCACCCCTCTTATCAAGCTTTTGGTAACCTAGCAACGGTGGGTAGCAAACGTGGGTGTATGAAAACAATCCAGGGATGGATACCTCCCAAGCTCAAGTCAAAGTTATCCCAACGAAGTTTTTCTTTTAAGATACGCTTCTCTCACACCCTTTCTGCCTTTGCGGCTTCTGCTATCACTTTGTCTACTGTCAATGGACTCGACATCCTCGTCACTGTAGTGAAGCTGCTCTTCTTCTCAAATCAAGCTGACCGACGTAGAACGATGACGGATTCGGTGTATCGAACATCCGCGAGATATACAAACTCATAAAGGCTTTCGGGCATGACGTCTACATTGTTGCTGTTACCTCGAATGAATGTGGAACCGGAGAAAATGTAGTTTTCACGACTGCTGCCAACCTGACTGTCGATACTGAATTCGGTCGGTTATTCACTTCCCGAACTTCCTCTTGAGCATTGCTGACAGCTCTTTAGAAGTCATCAAGAAAGGCGCTCCATCAGTTGGCACCGGCCCCAAGTATAGTCACATCTGGGACTATAACGGAACTTCGTCAGCATGCGTTCAAGCCGCGCTCGGCTACAGCCGTATGCGAAACAACAGTTCCAGCCGCATTTTTAAGCGAGCTTTAGTAAAACGCGATTTTGCAGAACCACCAGTTAATCAAAACTAATCGATTTGCGAATTGCCCCACAACCACCTTACTAAGTTGCCCAAGACTCGAAATACATCGTAGGGGACATGCCCCCGAAGCGCTCCTCCAAGCGCTTACTTGGGGAGGAACCATTTGCTGAGAAAGTTACGAAACGAGCCCGAAAGCCTAACGCGAACACCCTCGACGCGTTTTCAGTAAAGCAAGCTCCTATTCAAAGGAAAACCACTAGAAAGCGGAAGGATACGAAGGTATATAGGTCTTCTCAAGATATTCTATTACAGGAAAAGATCCTAGTATCTCCAATTCCAATTCCTAGTACTCCTGGTATACCTCTTGCTCCGAGCTCTCCGATATACATCACTCCAATTCCACTACATAAAAGAGCAAACGCCCCTCCTCCTTTATCCCTATTCAATCCAAATAATAAAGGAAAGATGCCTCATAATATATCTCTTATAATTATACTAATTATTAATAGATCCCGTAAGTCTAATACCGGAATTTATATACACCTTAATATTAATGATATTTTCCGTAATAACCTTAAAGCGCTTTACGTATACGTTTATAAGAGATATATAAAATAGTAGGAGGATATATGCAAGCTAATACCAGGAGAGAAACCTCGATTATCTCATTAGAATATTATAATTAGTAATCCAAAAGAATAATACTATACGCTTTATATTAAAGATACTAAAGCTTGGAAAAATATCGAAATCACGCTCCGTCAAATTGAGAAGGATAATAGAGCTTCTAGAAAATATACCCATAAGGTCGAAATTAATATGATTTATATCTCTTATGATTATCTAGTTACTTTACTTCTATAAACCGTTCCATCTAAAAAGAAGAGCAAAGCTCGTCTAGATATAGTTTGATATATGAATCTGGATACTACCCCCGAGAATACCTCCGAAGCAGAAGCGAATAAAGGAGAAGAAGAAAATAATAATAATTCAAATGATCTAGATTTACTACCTGTTTACGGATAAGCCTCTGTAATAGCAAGATAACTAAAGGAGAAGAGAGCTTATAATAGTATACTCCCTAAATACTAATACTATTATAAATAGCTCTTTACCCGAATCCGGTATATAAGAAATAGTTACTCGAATAGAGAATATAGTAGTACCGGCAATTACTTCCTCCTTAAGCAGAGAAATATATACTATAAGCTTTTATAGGAAGAACTAGATAAATGGGCCAAACTAATTAGTATTAATAATATTACCCTTAATATTCCTTTGCCTAATTAGATTATTAGCTATATTGCGGGAACGAACGAGTATACGAATAAATAATAAAGCCGTAAGAAGAAAGAGAAGACAATTATAGTTAATTTAAAAGAAGAGACTCCTATACCTCTAATTACGGTATCTTAACCTCTTGTTCTTATATAATATTCATATCCTTTATAACCTATACTCCCGCCTAAATACTACTAATTATAGCTCTAGTATTACCTTTCTTTCCTATAATTTCAGTATTAATATTCTCCGCCAGTATATAGTTAATATTATAATATTAACTATAATTATCTAATTACTTTACCTTAATTATATTATCCAAACCCCTCCCGTTCTATAATTCCTTCCTTCCCGATTCGAGAACTATATAATAAAGAGCTTACTAGGCTCTCGTAATATATACTAGAATAAGAAAAAGAGGAGGATAACCGAGCCTATATTAAATATAGTCTTAATATCTTGAAAAGAAAACGAATTCGGGTCAAGGATCTTATTTATACTTAATAGATAATAAATATACTATATACCAAGGGTATATGAATTAATATTTATATATAGATATAAAGGGCGGTAAAGGAATTTAAAGCTTTATAGAAATAACGTTATAATACTATATAAGAACTAGTATAAATAGAGCAAGCTTAATATTAAAAGAAGAGATTAATAGCTTTATCTTTTCGTTAGGAATTCAGGAGAAATAGGGAGGACAAATTAGCTAGTTTCTTTAATAATTACTAATATTCTAGTTATTTATTTAGGGGAGCAGTTATTTCCTTAGTACGGGATTAATCTCTTTAAGAAAGCTTTTAGGATATAGTAATATTAGGTAATATAGATCTGAAAAGTACAAAAATAGGTATAAGACTATTAAAATATATAAAAAAAGGCCAATATTTTTCGAAATATTATTATAATAAAATTGAATATTTATTCTATAATTACTTTTGCCCTGAATTATATATAAAAAACTTTCTATTATAATATTAATTAGATAGCCGAGAATATTAAAATACTATTAAAAATAGTGAATTATTAATGAAATATATATCTTGCTTTTAAGACTCGTATTACCCTTATAAAAAGACATAAAGTACTAGAGAATAAAAAGGCTAATTTGGCCCTAAAATCTACTTAATTATCTAGTACTCCTTATATTCCTGTATTCCTAAAATGTGCCCTTACTTATTGGCGAGCCCTTACTCTAGTACTAATCTTCCGAATAGCCTATTTAAGGAAGCTCTAGTAATTATCGAATTTCCTATACTCCCGGCAATAATATTATTAAATATAGGCCTTTAGATTACCGAAGCTCTCTTTAATTAGGTTAAAATCGGATAAGTATAGAGAAAGAAACCGTATTCAAATCCTATAGTATCTAGCTACCTCCTTAATTCTCCGAATATTGGAATAATAAACTAATATATTATCCATAATTAAGACTAATTAAGGGCCTGGATATAGTATTATTTTTGGAAGAACTTATTTAATAATAAACTCCTTAAAGATATCCCTAGTACAGGTGCCCTTAAAGGTCCTAGATATAATATATCTATTAATTATATATACCGGAAATACTAATATTCTATTCCTCTTACTTAATTACTATTTAACTTATACTCGAACTTCTTTATCTATCTAATTATATATTCGATTACCGCTTCTTTTATTACTTCCTGATTCGTTAATAAAGACTAATTAAGATACCGTAAAGTCCTGGAAATAATATTACTAATATACTCTCAGTTCTCTATTCCTCTATATAGCTATAACCTTTAATTGCTTTCTTATAATCTTAATCCTTTAAAGGGCTTGTAAAATAATAGATTAATTAACCTTAATATTATAGACTTTATATAAAAACTCAGTGAGTTCGTCTTAATACTACTATAGCTCCTTTTCCAAGAGATGCTTTATAGCTTACTCTATTCTCTATATAATAATACGCCTAGTACTACTAGAAGAAGGTTTAGGTAATTAATTTGCTATTATATGCCTCTTATAATGGTATATTGTTTGAGTTATAGTATTAAAATCATATGCAAGCTATTAAATAAATTATATAGAGCTCTGAGGCCCCGTATCGTATAAGGCATACTCGATTCGGGCGATTATTATTACGGCTAGACAATCCGGTATAGTAGTAGCAAACCCGTCTAGGAACTTTTAGTATAAGTGTCCCCTATTAATTTGATTAACTTACTTCGTAATTCCAAGCCGTAGTTGTGGAGTTATTCGTGCGATTATAATTAAGTGGAATGCGTAAT